TACTAAATAGCTAGGCTAGCTTTAGCTAGTCGCTAGCTTCTTAGAGAAACTATTAACTTAAGTTAATAGAAGTTTAAAGTAATAATAGGTTAACCTATATAGGCCTATAATATTAGGCCTTATTAAAGATAACTACTAGTCTAATATCTTAACTTTCTTTAAGGAAGTCCTCTACTATTAAGAGAAAGTAAGTCTCTTTTTTAGAGGCTTATAATATAAGTAATACTACCTAGTATAGAGAATATTAGACCTACTATTATATTTATAAGTTAGCTAATCCTATAATAAGCTAAAGTAACGTTTAGCTATTATAACGCGCGGAAAGGGGTAGGCTAACTACTTTAATAGTTAGCTTAAGGTACGTACTAATTCTTTAAGATAACTAAGCTCTAGTAATAAAACCTAATAGGTTAAAGTACTAGAGAGTAGTAGAAGTAATCTAGCTACTAGTAAGGTTTACTTTAGTTTTTAATAATAGTATCTTAAAATATCTAGGTAGAGCGTTATAGAGGTAAGTATAAATAAAGAAATATAAATAAAAATTTATATTATTTAATTTTAAAATATATTATAGTGCTCTATTATAAAGATATAACTCCCCTCTAGGTACTTATATTAACTAAGTAGTAGTAACGTAAATAGAATACTATCTACTACTGTCTTAATAATAGGGTCCTTACTATAGTAGTACTTATGCGCCTTATTTACCGCCTTAAGCTTTACTATAATATACCTAGGCTTAATATATATTAGTTAGTAGTACTAGTAACTAGCCTACTTACCGCCTAAAAGGCGCTAGCGGTCCTTCTTACTATACTCTAGTTAGTAAATTATATATTATATATAAAGATAGAGAAAGGTAGTTATTACTTATAATAGGTAATAACTACTAGCCTATAGGCGTTCTATAGTAGTAGCTTTAACTAGTTTAACCCTATATAACTGTAGACTTTAGTGCTAATAGGCGCGATCTAAATATAGCTATTATCTTAATAAATAGCTGTGTTTAGTAGCGTGCCTTAGCTATAATATATATTCTTTTTAGCTTCTCTTACTACCTTATTTACGCCCTTTTAGGCTAGTAGATAATTAGCTTTATTTCTTACTATAGGCGCGTAGCTACTGTTGCTCTTATTATAGTACCCTAGTACTAGACGCTTGAGTATAGTAGTAGTAAGAGCGCGCGAAATACCTGCGAGGGTAGTAAGGGTAGTAGAGATAGGGGTAGAAGTAGGAGTGGGGGTAGAGTGGGCAATGTCCGCTACACCACCGGTGTCCAGCCCATCGGCAAGAACCAGGAGCGCGGCCCCTTCAAGATCAACGACGACGGTGACCTCGTCTTCGCTGCTGGTGGTCTGACCGGCGATGTTGGTTTCCAGGCTTGCCCCGGCGCTGTTGGCGGAGGCTGGAAGATCTGGCTTTCTGGTGTAGACAAGCCTGCTGGTTCTGAGGGATGCACTCCCTTCACCATGAAGGCGCTTAAGGAGACCGAGCCTAAGAAATGCCTTTACTCTTCTGCTCCTGCTTAGATGCTGAGCTTGGAAAGATCTTCAGAGTGTACAAATTGATAGTCTCGAAGACGGGACTTTTGTTCCCTGATGTGTATATATCATCGCATTTGAGCGTCTGCATAGATTCTCGTTTATGATCGCTAGAAATAGAAATGACCATGTTAATCTTTACAACGCGTTCCTTCCTGTACTAATTCTTTTCCTGTCAATGGTGAAAGGGCATAGCTGCGCACATCCCATAGTCGTAGTGGTAGGTTTCATGAAAGAGAATAACATGAATTTATGGCTTGAAGCGAGCAAACCGAGATCAGAAACAGGACTTAGCTGACGCCCGCACGATGCCTTCAGATTGCTTGTCTGAATCAGGTCGTCCGCATTCGATGGCCATGGCCAGCATGTCGTGCAGGGTTGTTTCTGGTTGCTTATCCATTCGTAGTAAAAGAGACGTTTGAATGGCAGTGCGGTGTTTTGCTTCCGAACGGAGAATGTAGCCTAGTCCCATCAGCAAATCAATGACGACAAAGGAGTCCGCCAATTCCCGACTCCGGCGATTGCGCACGAGGCTTACCATGTAATGGTTCGCCGCGCTGCAAGCGGACTGGCCATGAATCCTAACAATCGGAATTGCAGACGAAGCCTTCATGAAGAAGTCCGAAGCCTCGTCTTCACCGAAGAGCTCGTCAAGGTTGCAAGTTCCAGCCACTTTCGGTACTAGTACCGTCTCGAAGTCACTCCAGGACGTGTCGATGAAGGGGCTGTCCCGAAGCACCATGACACCATTGACAATACCTGCAAGGGGTAGTAGCGTGGAATTGATCTTTATTCATACTGCTTTCAAGCCATCCTTATTTTTAATATGCACTGATACAGCGCATAGCAAAAAAAACCTGCTAAGACATGAATTTGAATACTCCAGCCAGAATGATCGGACGTCGGCCGATTAACTCGTTTCGAGCCCTGTTTTCCACCTACCATTAAGTAATAGATGCCAAGGTCATCTGTCATGTTGAAAAGAGTGTAGGTATTATCAGGAGTGAACTGATCGTTGTGTCCGTTGAGACTATCTTTACTGGTGACTTTACTGGTGATCTCTTCGTTTGTCACATATTTGAAGTCCTGATGTTATTGCTGCTGCTGCATCATCCTCAGAGCCAACGCCATTATAGCTTAAATGTTGTCGTTCAACCAAACCAATCGACTATGATACCTCCTTGTGTAGTTTGACTGGAATCTGGAAGTGCACTTCTACTTCGCGCATCACTCGGACTGCACCCATCTCGTATTACGCGGCACAAATAGTGAGTTGCGAGGTTGAAGATGTAGATCTCACAACTCAAATTCGGTCATCGTGATTGAAGTGTTTGGCAAAACCTTGAACGATTGAATTCGCTCTGCTAAAACGCGTGACAATTCTTTCTGAACAAAGAACGTAAGACGAATGAAGTCATTGATCCAAAGCCCCTCAATCCCGCGCCGTGATTTTGCGACAGTAATGAACCTACAACGCTGTCCACGACGAAGCCAAAGTATCTGTATCACTTCCTTCCACACGATAGAACCCCAATGCCTTCAGCATCGGCTTATCATCGAAGCGATACAGATACACAGTCTGCTCACCCGAAGCAAAGTGCTGATACTTATGCCATGATGGGATGCAGAAAGTATCGCCACGTTCCCAGGTCAACCTCTTACCCTCTACCTCGGTGTAACCTGATCCCTCAACAACATGATACACGGAAGAAGCCGTCTCCCGCACTGTTGGAGAACTTTCCCCTGCGTTAAGCCGCTCAGCTGAACCGCCGAGTATTCTGCTCACTAAATTGCACATGTCAGATCTGACACTCATTCACGATTTTAAAATTTCATCCCACTTACCCTCTGTTCCATTGGCCTGAAGATAAGGCAACGAAACCCACTTCTCCGGCGCCTTATCCAATTTCTCCGCCATCTTCTCCCATGGAAATACAATCGGCGAGGTATTCGAATCCACGTTCTCTGCTGGATACCTTGGCGCAGTGTGATGCTCGACAAAATGCACGGGAAAATGCACGAAATTAGGAAGGTCCAGTCCGTCAAGCCATATCATAGGGCCAGAACCATCCTTGCCGTGGTCGTGCCAGTTCCAGGTTGGGGTTAGAATGACGTCGCCGCGCTTCATGTTTACACGGCGGCCGTGGACGGCGGTGAAGCCGCCTTCGCCTTCGATGATGAAGCGCATGGCAAAGGCGGTATGGCGGTGGGCCGGGGCGGTTTCGTTGGGCATTACGAGTTGGAGGCCGGCGTAGATGGTGTCTGTGGTAAATGGCGCTTCTGTGGAAAATGTCAGTCGAGATTCTTTACTACCATCATGAGTTTGAGGTCATTCAGGTGCGGCGATGCCTAGACATACCCTTGTTAGGATTCACTAACATCAATACCCGCCTCTCAGCTTGCTTCTCAGTTACCAACTTTCCGGCTCGCAGCAAGTCTGGTCGGATCTCCCTGTACTTCCATAGATGAGGGATCGCCTGGGGGTTGGGCAGTGGAGGGTTCAATCTCTTCATCTGGGTCCAGAGTGGTGAAACAGCATGCTTTTGAACGTCGGCAAGCAATTTCTCTGGAGAGTTACTGTCACCATTCAGATGCGGGACCTCTTTGCTCGATAAGATCCAGGTCATCTTGCTAATCTAAGCAGGATAGTAGTCAAAGATGGTTAGTGAAGTTTGGGCTGGGGCAGGAATGATAAGGTAAGCTATGGATCATCAGTTATCAAATTCGAATTTATATATGCATGACCACTTATTTTACAAATGAAAGATACTTGGATGTACGAACGCATGTTTCTAAGCCTGCGGAACGAATGCGCACCTGCTGACGGAAGATTCTGTGCTCTGGACGCATCGGAAAGCACCAACACCAAACGAAGGTGTGCGAGGCCGGGCGAATCATGACACTGGGTACAATTCCAATATCATCTATGCTTACAAAACGATCGATCAACGTTGCGTTACGCATGCCAGGGCATCCTCGGAGCCCGTTCGTCGAACACGGCGATTGGGTGGCGATCCTCCGCACGCTAGCCCCCGAGGTCCGGCTCGTTTCCGTGGGCTTTGCAGCAGCCAGGACCAACAGTTGGGCATTATCACGCATAAAACATGCCGAACGACAGTTCTACAGATGTACTCAAATTTTTCATTACCCCGCTTAGTGTCACTTTCATTATACCCTTCTCTCTCGATCATCCTTCGTCATGGGCATTCCCGGAGCATCTTGGAAGCGATTGATTCGCTTCCGGGGCGAAGACGGTGCTGAACACTATGGCGAGCCACAACTTGAAAATGCTCAGGATCTCATGTCCAAATTGGAAACCGGCTTAGAAGCAGAGATTCTCGAAGGCACCAGCCCCTTTGAAGTTAAAAGCACTGGAAAAATTGTCAAGATAAAAGAGATCCTACATCTCCTCCAGCCAAAAGATGTCCCCACCGTACGCTGCATCGGCTTAAACTACAAGACACACAGTAAGCACAATTCCACACTCATCCGCAATGTATCTCACCACCCCCAACTAGTCGCGGAGGCAGGCCGCAAACCGCCCCCTTACCCTTCCCTCTTCATAAAAGCCAATACCTCAATCGCCGGCTGGAACGAAACCATTCCAATTCCCAAAATCGCACAAGACGACCAGGCCGACTACGAAGGTGAGCTTTCTATTGTGATCGGCAAAACGGGGAAAAACATCTCCAAAGATGACGCCATTGCCCATGTCGCGGGATACGTATCTTCCAACGACATCAGCTCCCGCAAATGGCAGCGTGATCCTGCGTACGCTGGAGGCGTCCCGCAGTGGTGCTTCAGCAAAGGCTTTGACAAGTACGCACCTATTGGCCCGTTGATGGTGTCACCTGCTGTGGTTGGGGCGGCGGAAAATCTCGAGTTAAGGACCTGGGTCAATGGAGAGGAGAGGCAGAAGACTATTACTAGCGATTTGTTGTTCGATGTCCGGACCATTATTAGCTTTTTGAGCCAGGGGACGACACTTGAGAAAGGGACTGTGATTATGACGGGAACGCCATCGGGGGTAGGGTTTGGGCAGGCTGGGGGCCCGAAGTGGTTGAGGGATGGCGATGTTGTGGAGGTGGAGGTGGAGCATTGCGGGAGGACTAGGAATAAAATCGTTTATGAGTAGTTTTTAGAGAGGTCACTAAGGCAGTTGCGTCTACATGCTGAAATGCGTCATTATTGAATCTTTTTACCTTGATTACGAAGTCTTTTTTTAACGATACCCGATTACGCTACGTAGGTCAAGGTGTGGCCTGCTATTCTTTTCTGACATGATTGACCTGATACGATATACAGCAAGCAGAAACAAGTCAATTCAGCCGCCATACACGATTGCACTCACTTTAGGGCAGTTGAAAATTTTGCAGCAACAATTTACAGGAATTTAATTACATTGCAATGTTCGATGCGATCCAAGATGTGACGAAGTCGGGCAGCCAAACATTAGTTTTTGTCCATTTTCGGCTACCTAGCGAGCAACACCAACACGAGATTCGTGAATTCCTTGAGACTTCTCGTTCAGAATTGACATGCGATAACAAGATGTAAGTTTCACACTCTACAAATACCATTCTTATTCCATGAAGTCAATGGCATCAATGGCATGCGCAGCTTCATCCAACAATTTGGAGCATCTACTACTGGCCCGAGCAATGCTAGTAGTACTAGTACTACCTCGCCCTTTCGGAACCACCAACTTCAATTTCCCCGCAGCCCCAAAATCACCACTGCAACACCCAACCCGACATCGGACGAATCACAAGCCCCACGGAAGGAAACGGCTTACCGTGCAGATAGACCTAGAGGCTAAGGACTGCTTGCTAATTCGGTTCGATGCGGCGGTTCAACGTTGTTCGGTCACGCCTAACGCGTATTCCGAAATGCGCCGGAACTACGTAGACGCGTTGCGGCATGTGGACCCAGCGCCATGTATCTGCATATGACTTCATATTGAAGGGTCGTAAGAGGGCTTTCTGAATCTGCATCCTCTCGAGAAATTCGAGGATTACCACAACCATGAGTCAAATGTTGGTACATTGAGCAGAATTGAGTGCCCAGCATAGTGTTGATTACCTGCAGGAAATACACCACAGCGACTGCCTTCTTCGAGGCATTATGGGAGGTACGAAATGTAGTCAATGTTCCCTCATGGTCACATTTTAACATTGCTCCAGGCCGGTATCTCACACGTCTTCGTTAACCTGGGGTCTGACCACCCTGGGATAATGGAAGCGATTGCACGAGGAAAAAAGGACCCAACCGGAAGCTTTCCAAAAGTCATCACGTGCCCCCATGAGGTGAACACTCCGCAGCAACCTGGGTGAAGGAGCTCTCTGACTTCCACTGTAGACTGTTGCGCTATCAATGGCTGATGGCTTTGCTCGACTTACTGGTAAACCTCAATGCGTGATCGTGCATGTAGATGTCGGTACTCAATGCCTCGGTGCCGCTGTACACAATGCTTCCGTTGCACGAGTCCCAGTACTGATATTCGCGGGTCTCTCACCTTTCACACTCGAAGGTAACATTTAATTCTTCATGTCCCGAATCCAAAGCCCCCCTACTGACAGAATCCAGGCGAAATGCGTGGCTCCCGCACCGAATACATCCACTGGCTCCAAGACGCCCCCGACCAAAAACAAATCGTCCAACAATTCTGCCGATATACGGGCGAAATCAAGACGGGCACAAACGTAAAGCAAATGGTGAACCGCGCGCTCCAATTCGCGACCTCTGATCCAAAAGGTCCTGTATACCTCACCGCTGGCCGCGAAGTCCTCGAGCAAGAAATCACGCCCTACAAGCTTGATCAAACCGTCTGGGGCCCCGTATCACCTCAACCTCTCGCCCAAGACGGCGTAGAAACCATCTCAGACCTCCTGGTAAACGCGCAAGAACCCCTCGTCATAACCGGGTACTCTGGCCGCAACCACACCTCGTGCGGCGCTCTCGTCGCGCTCGCAGACACGGTCCCCGGTCTCCGCGTCATCGACGCTCTGGGCAGCGATGTCTGCTTCCCGTATTCACACCCCGCATCTCTGGGGCTGCAAATCGGCGCGCACGAGAGCATACGAACCGCAGACGTGATCCTCGTCGTAGACTGCGACGTCCCCTGGATTCCTACCCAATGCTCTCCGCGCCCCGACGCGGTGATTATGCATATCGACGTGGACACGCTGAAGAGGAACATGTTGCTTCATTACATCCCCGCAAAGTACCGGTACTGTGCCGATGCGGAACTGAGTTTCAAGCAGATACAGCGGTATATTGCGGGCCATGCGACGTACCCCGCAGTATTGGCCAAGGAACCGTATCTTTCTCGTCGCGAGAAGATGATTGCGGAACACCGGGCGCGTCTGGATAATCTCGCAGTTATTGCTGCGCCACCCGTGGATAAGAGTCTGCCGGCGCATACCCCGTACCTGGCATCGCAGCTGCGCAAGCTATGCCCGGAAAATACGATTTGGTGTCCCGAGGCAGTGACGAATGCGTTGCCAACGTGCAATCAACTGCAGGTCGATACCCCAGGGTGCTTGATCAACGGCGGTGGAGGCGGGCTGGGGTGGTCAGGAGGAGGAAGCATTGGAGTGAAGCTCGCGTCAGACTATTTGGCAGGGGGAGTGGGGAAGGGCGGGTTTGTTTGTCAGATTGTGGGGGATGGAACGTGGATGTTTGGAGTGCCGAGCACGGTCTATTGGATTGCGAGGAAGTATTCGATTCCGACGTTGACGATTGTTCTGAGCAACAAAGGTATGTTTGTTCCAATTTCGAGAAGGTCTGGGACTGACTGTTGGTGCAGGATGGAATGCTCCGCGCAAATCACTTCTCCTTGTGCACCCTGATGGTGTTGGCTCAGAGGTTGATAATGAGGGCATTGGAATTTCGTTTGCGCCTACGCCGGATTATTCTGGCATTGCAAAGGCGGCGGCTGGGCATAACGCTTGGGCCGGATGTGCGAGCAGTGTCAAGGAGTTGGATGAGTTGCTGCCTCAAGCGATTGAGTCAGTGAAGAAAGGGGTTCTTGCTGTGCTCGAGGTGCGGCTGAAAGGATCTTGGGAGAAGGCAAGTCTCTAGGAGTCAAGTAGCTCTATTGCATAGAATTGAGATATATGATCAATGGTATCTTCGAGTATCGATTATTCATGATCAGAAGTGGAAAAGACTGGCTGATGACGTTGGTAACGTGAGGGATGCGATGATATGAGAAGCGATACACCGAGTTTTGCAATTGGCAGACTCTATAAACACAGGTGACTCTATTTACTCTCCGATTGCTGTCGTCTTCCAAATCTCCTTGACCTTCTCCTTGACCGTGTCCGGATAAGAACTCTCAAAATCCACCGGAATCCAATTCCTCCGCCCCTCATACTCGGCCGGCAACAAGCAATTTGTCACCATCTTGCCTCCCCTTTTCCGATCTCCCCTGCCATGCGACATATACGGCATTATCGGCAGCCCTCTCACATCCTCAAACGGAAAATCGTCAAACCCCGGCCGCGCTCTCGTGCTGAGCGCCCAAATGATGTCTTTGAAATTGTACACATCGATGTCGTCTCCGATGAGAAAGACGCGGTTGATGAGCATCGAGGCTTTGGAGGAGAAGACCAGGTTCCCGATTTGGCGGCTGAAGGATTCGGCGTCGGTTTTCAGGAGGGCGAGCTGCGGTAGGGAGACCTGCAGAGCGCACCAGGTTCCCATTGTTTCGAGGGGACAGTAGGCATCAATAATGGGGAGGCCGTGGGATTGGCAGAGAGTGACCATCTCGGCGGAGGCGAGGGAGGCGGTGGTGTGCTGGGTGCGTGTTAGTGAAGTTGTAAGGGAGAGTAGAGGGTTAGTGGGCTTACCGATTCATCGACGATGCGGCCTGGAACGGAGATGGGCAGGATGGCGTCGTCGCGGTATGTTATGGCGTCGACCTTGAGGAGAGAGCCTGGCCGTCGCTCGTCGTCGAATTGGTGTGCCAGATAATCACCAAAGGGCCCTTCGTCGCCCATCTTGGTAGTCGACAGTGTACCTTCGAGCACGATTTCGCTATTGGCAGGCACAAGAAGATCATTCGTCTGGCACTTGACAAGGTCGAGAGGACGTCCTAGCATGGCACCAACGTACTCGGCCTCACTCACACCTTCGGGAAGAGGGCAGGCTGCTGCCATGGTCGCAGCAGGGGGTACGCCAAACGCAAGGGCCCATGGCACGTCCTTGCCCAACTTCCTCCACATTTCCATGACCATATGATTGTGCTGTCCCGGGTTGATGAGGGCAACCAGATGTCGCTTGTCATAGAGCTGGGCACGGAAGATGGACCAATTCGTCCACGATCCGTCAGGAGTCTGGAGCATATGGATTCCATACGTCTGGAGAAACCTTCCGCCGTCATGCTGGTGCAGAAAGGGTACTGGAAGAGCGTCGAGGTCGATGGCATCGCCAAGGATCTGATTCTGCTGGCACGGCCCTGTCAGGACGACATTGGGGGGGATTGGAGCCTTGTTCTTGCCCTCCTGACTGCGGTCGCAGATCTGCTTCCAGGTCGCGTCCTTGGGAAGTCCGAGGTTTCGAGCGACACGACCGAACCTCTCATTCTCGTTCTTTCTCAGCCCGGCGGCGTTACTGAAGATGCGCCACAGGCCGTTGCGGGCGCCTTTGACGTTGTTGAATAAGGGGGCCTTTCCGTCGGTTTCACTGACACGACGTGCAGTTGCTCCAACCTCGAGATGTGGATCGACCTCGGTATTGATTTCAACCAGGTCATTGTCAGCGCGCAATACATCGAGGAAGGCTCGAAAGTCGTGCGGTGCGCTCGGACTTTGACTCGCTTGAAGTGCACTGGAGGTGCCTTGGGCAGTAGTAGTAGTAGCCATGAGACGTCGCTGATGGCGGTGTATCATAGCCGCTCGAAAGCTTCGAGGGTTGCAGAAGCGCATTCCCGACAGCATTTGCCTCTATTGATGACGGTGTGCAGATGGTAGCTAGGGTCGCACACATGGACTGGGCTCGCTGCTGAGGTCCTCGCTCTTCCCTTCTGGGGCTTGCTCATCCACTGTGCATGGGTCCCCTGTCTCCGGCCCACCCGCGAGCCGGCGCTAGGCAAGCACAGGCCGGGGTCCAGTGCCCATCTGCAGGGTCAGGGTTAGGGTTACCGTAGCGTGGGGTGTAGGAACGTTCCTCCTAGATAGCCTTCCGGAGGCTTCGGAATGGTCCGCACGCCTGCTTCGGAAATTCCGTCGCCCATTCCGGCGTGCAACAGCCGCCAACACCGGGCGGGGGATGCGTCCAGGATGGCAGCATGGGGCCCATAACCGCACCGATACGAGTAATGATAGCAACATGTTGGCCATGTGGCTGGCCACTCACGCTGCACCTCGAACATGCTTATGCTTTGCCCTCGCCCTTGCCGCGTCAGTCGCCCATTGACGAGTGCATTCCACTTTCACCACCGCATCAGCACTCGCGCAGTCACTCAACACCACCACGCCTTCTCGACTGCAACTCCCTACCAGTCCCACAAGCCCACACAGCCATGCCGTCCAAAACGCATCGTAATCGGCATAACCGGCGCAACAGGCACCATCTACGCCGTCCGCCTTCTTGAAATCCTACGCGACCTCTCCATAGAAACGCACCTCGTAATGAGCAAATGGGCCCATACAACCCTCAAATACGAGACGGACAGGACAGAAGCCGAAATTCACTCCCTCGCCTCCAGAGTCTACACGGCACGCGACATGACGGCCCCGATTGCCAGCGGATCCTTCCTGCACGACGGCATGATCATAGTCCCGTGTAGCATGAAGACGCTTGCCGCGGTGCGCATAGGTTTCTGCGACGATTTGATCTCGCGCGCGGCCGATGTGACGTTGAAGGAGCGCCGGCCACTGATGCTGGTGCCGCGCGAGACGCCGCTGAGCGATATCCACCTCGACAATCTGTTGGCTGTCAGGAAGATGGGCGCCGTGGTTTTTCCGCCCATGCCCGCGTTTTATACGCGGCCAAAGAGCTTGGAGGACATGGTCGAGCAGAGTGTTGGGAGGATGTTGGATAATTTTGGCATTCATACCGACGGGTTTGAGAGGTGGAATGGCTGTAATTGGGGGAACAAATGAGGCTTGGGTACATTGAGCTCTGGAATAGATACCTGTGCATCTTGCAATCAAATGTTTACGAGTCAAGCGTCCATGTCATGTGATTCCCATACTTGAGTGTCATAACTGAATGCCTTGCCGTACCCACCGGCTCAATGTCCCACTTGCCCCACCGAACTCACCATCAAGATGAGCTTGTAGAGCTTCATCGAAAGACTTCAATCGCAAGATTCTTGAGAGGAATAATCCAGTAACATTCATCGTCAAATATATCAGTCGGTATTTGGCCAGTGATTTAATTTACGCGACAGCAACACGAGTGAATGAAGTAATTAGCTTCGTAGTAACCAATAAGTCTTTTCTTCATCTTTGAAGCTGAGACGAAACAAGATCTTATACAGATGTGGTGCTGCGTACAGTAAGTTTACGTAGAAGTCCTGATCAATTGCTTGTTGTAGGTGGAGAGCATGACAATCGTAAACCTCAACGCAGCGTGAAGCTGTTTTACCTTAGTATCAGCGTGCGAGCGTTCTTTAATTGATACTAAACTTTTTCGCGAGTGGGGTGAATACATATTTTTTTTCGCTAGGTTTCAAAGGAGCGATATCTGCAAGCGCAACCTCGATAAGCTCCATTTGTCGTGGTTGTGGTGCGATCGCGTAAGTGGTGGGGTGGAGCGGGCATTGGCCCGTCCGGTACTACGTACGGTATACCGCGGCCAATCCGTGGAATACAAGTCATTTTAGTCACTAGAACGTGACGTGATCGCAACACCGGGAGGCTGAAACCTTCCGTAGTCTGTCATGGAAACTTAGTTCCAGAAACAATGTACTCGCACGTGTCAATCTAATGCTTCGAGCCTTCCGCCACGGCACTCCACCTCCTTCCGCTCCATAAGCCCGTGGCCCTAGAGCTGAGCTCGAGTTGAGTTTCTCATATAATGTCGCTAGCCCCCGAACCTTATTTCAGTAGAAAACCTGTGAATACATCAACAGCTGTGGCCTAAATACACTGTCGACTCATACCCCATAAGTTCCAAGGCTTCATTTCGATACACTACCATGGCCGACGCTGACCAAACTCCTCTTCCTCTTCCCGTCCCTTCTTTAGCACGTCTTGCTCCTGGTGTAATACTTTCTCAGCCATTGTCCCGCAAAGGTTCCGGACCTGGACTCATTGTGCTTGTCACTCAGTCAGGAGCTACAAATGACACGACTCTGCGCATCGAAAATGGTGTCCCATCACCGCTCATGAAATGGGGAGAAGAGAGCTACACAGTTGTAGAACTTCTTGAAGAAGCCTTTCTCGAGGGCAAAGACCCAATAAGTCTGGCCGTCTCAGAGCTGTCCAAGGCTGACAAGTGTGAGCCGAAAAATGCAATTGGCGTCATCGGTAAGTTACCCTAGTTCCAGTCTGCGCATTGCGTTGCTGATTCGGATGGCAGCGTACGATCTGAAGCTTTGGAACCGCGCAGCACCATATCTAACATCGCACTCCTCAATCGTCGGCGCCGTCGTCTACGCAAATGCAGCAGAACATCACAAGCTCGCCATAACCTCCGTGCCTGTACTGCAACACATGGCGGGCAAGATGCGCAAGCCGCCCCGGACCGAAACCCGTGTTGTCCACGATTACCCTAGTGCGAAATCTCACCTCTTTGCTACGCCTTTCCAGCTGGAATTTGATTACAACATAGAATCAGTGTCGCATACGCGGAATCTGTCATTCCTCAAACCGCGCATGAATGGCCCGTGGTTCGATCTCGAGGCGATTTGGGACGAGCATACGTACTGGGAGTTCGAAGATCGGTCAGTGCCGAAGACGATGGCGACCATGGTGCAAGAGCCATATGTCAACCATGTGCCTACGGTATGTTTAACTGCGCAGTAGGGGCGTGTTTCAACGCATCGCTAACGTGCGTAGCTCACGGGTGGTATTGGACGAGAGGCACTTACAGATTTCTATACCAACCATTTCATCTACTCGAATCCCACAGATATCGAGCAGGAGTTGATAAGTCGCTCCATAGGCATCGATCGCGTCATCGATGAGTTCATTTTTAAGTGCACGCACAACGCTCCGTTGGACTGGCTGTGAGATGTCACTTATCTCCAAATGTGATTGTCGCGGTGCTGACAAGTCGTAGAATACCGGGGATCCCCCCGACAGGCCGCAAACTTGAAATTCCCTTCATGGCGGTTGTCAACATTCGAGGCGACCGTCTTTACCACGAACATATATTCTGGGACCAGGGTACTGTGCTGGCTCAGCTGGGTCTATTGCCAGAGTACTTGCCTATACCGTACGCTCTGCCAGGCGGGCAGAACCAGGACGGGAAGAAACTCGAGTACAGATTGCCCATTACAGGGGCTGAAACGGCACAAAAGTATCGAAATAAAGATGCGGTCACTTCGAATACCATGATCGGCTTCCAGGTCCGCGAAGAGAACGCGTAGCTGGTCGAAGAGAGACACAATTGGGTGTCGTGGAATCACAGCTTGTCAAAGTTTGAATCAGTCGCAACCTGGGAACCCGAAACATCTGCTTAATATGGATAGGAAAATATATTTATACACACTGACTCGCCACTACCTCGTTGCTCGGCCAATCCGGCCAAAGCATATCAATGTCGTTCCACCACATGCCATTCATTGTTTCATCTCCCATAGTGTTATCCGCGACTTGCAGAAAATCTGCCTGATCCAGGAACACGCCAATAGCGCCGCTAACAGCATCTCCCTTCTCACCTAGTCCTCTTTGAATCTGGGGTCTTTGCTGATGTTGCTGTGGTTGCAGAATTCGATCAGGGGCGGTCTCGATTGGAGGAGGTTGGAGAAAGTCTGGCCGAGCTAATTGCTCCTCCAAATGACGCAGCCTCTTCGCGAGTCTGGAGGAATTCTGCGACAGTGTACTATACGCTGTCGTGAGAGCCAATGCGCGTTCCACCTCTCGCTTTACAAAGCCAGGAAAAGGCTCCAGCAAATCAGCGGACTGCATGATGACCGCCCGGTTGCGGTCCGCGCGAACATACGCCACCACTAAGAAAAGAAGTGCACATGAAGAGCTGAGGAAATGTTGGAAGAACGGATGCTGGGTTTTGTAAACGTCGGTGCTGGAGTTCAGCAAAGAGAGTACACCGATAGTGTCGGAGATGATTTTCATGCTAGGTTTGATCATTTTAACGCTCACATTGGAGTGGGAGCCTGAAAGAAAGAATGGGCGAAGGATGATACTCCGGAAGGCATTGGCACGCAGATAGAGCAACGTGGCCACGGGTGACGGGGGTTTTGAGGGGTCTGCCGTTGGCTTTACACCAACAGCTGTCTCAGGGGATGGGTGGTAGATACCGTAACCGTCTATGGCCTTCTTCAGCCATTGGTCAATCTGGAAATTGAGTAGTTCGAAAGCGTCATCTTGCTCATAAGTTGCACCAGCAGCAACTCGGTATATGGGTACTTCGAACTTTGGACTCATGAAGGTGTATGAGATCATCGCTCGAAGGTACCAGGCGTCCTCCTATCATGCCTGAAGTCAGCAAAGGAATCGGCCTTGTGGCAACCACAGCATCGCACTTGGGTCTTCAAGACTAGATGACTCACCGGAGGCTCTATGGATTGATCAAAATCTGATTCCTGAAAGTTTTGAGGCAAGCCAGTGGCAGCACTCCATTGCCTATCCAAGATCACTATGCTCCAGATGAGAGCGCTGATTCCAGTGCGTTGCTTCTCGTCTCGCAAAAGATGGCAATGGACGTCTCGGCGGTGAAGCCCAAGTTCCATTGCCATACGCCCCGAAATTCCGCATACTCGCCATGCCAAACGCGTGTCACCAGTGAAGAAGTGGTAAATAGACTGCTCGCGATTCGATCATGTTAGTGAATGCATCTTTTTTTTTTTGAGCAGGATGGAAGGCTTACCGCCAATAATGCGATTAGAACATGGTCTAGGCTTGACACTTCGGATGCTAATTTCAACTTGATCAGGTGCTCCACGCCTTTATACAGCGTTTTCCCAATATGTGACTGCGAGGCTGGTTCGGCAGCAAGCGCGATTGAGAGTGCTAAATATAAGATCAGAATGGTGTCTTCATGGAGAATTGAGGCATCGGACGTGGGTTTCGAATGGAACACATAGCAGGCCTCGGCCTGCTCGACAAGCCGCTTTGGATCCAAAATAGGATGAAGGCGGCCAATGACATTATGGTATACATTCAAAAGGCGCAGGGCGTCGTTTCTGGCAATGAGCCATGGCAACTGAGCCAGACATTGGCGTAGCCTAGTTTTAGCAAGGCGCTCTTGAACGCCAGACCCATGGACTTCATCTTGAACCAGATTGCGCTCGTCGTCGTCGTCGATTTGATCATCTTCCAGGCTAGGATTGGTCTCTTCTGGGATAGTAGGGCCGCCAGGAGGAGCTTGGGCCATTCGCAGCTTGATCGCAGCAGCATTGAGACTATAGTCAGGGCTTGTCGGACCGTAAAAGCGACGAGTAGATGGCTTTGACGTGTTTGCGACGGCTGCTGTGGGAGCATTGAGTGTTGATGTTGGGTTTGCGTTGATCTGAGCATCCCTGGAAGGGGGGAGGGCAGAGCTCAACCCTTCGAGGGCCGGGTTCTGCCGGGGAACCGCGCTCTGGCGGGGAACCGCGGGATCTATTTCAACGACTGGTGAGGTGTGTAATTCGTTGGACAACTCCATATGTGTGACGAGGCTGTCAAGCTGTGCTTGCAGCGCAAGTACGACACGAGAGATGGACTCGCCCTTGCTAAGAGCATGCTGGGTTAGTGGCAAGGGCGACTCGGAGCACGAAGGGAACATACGCGTTCGCCCCCAACGCATTGGCTGGCAATGTTGGAGGGGCAGCAACGGCAGAGTAAGATGCAGCAGGATCCTCTGGCTGCGAAGGCTCGTTTGTCGAGTCTGGGTCAACGGTGTAGCGACAGTCCAACGCACGCGAGCGACAGAAGTCGCAAGGCTTACGGCCGTCACATCTGCCTTTGCGTCGCCGGCACACATCGCAGGCTCGCCATACGTATCGAAGGCGACGTTTGCGGCATGTCCCGGCCGGGTTTTGTTGCTCCATGTTGGACGAGGGGCGTTTTGGCGGCGAGGGGCTCATTGTGCTGGATTGCGGACAGCAGAATGGACCCTTTGGGGGAATGCGTCTGGGTTGGTCTTGAGACTGTAGAGATAACAATCGGGCCCCCTCCACACTCGCTGCTTATCGCCATGATAGAGCTAGGCCGCAATGAACGCATAGATTGGCCAGGGCGAGGCTGTCGTCTGTGCATGTGTCGGAGACGTGCGGGAGTGAGCCGCGCGGGGTAGGTACCGAGAAAGTGCCGGGGACGAGACAGGGAGGCCATCTAGTGTACCCAGTGTAGTGTTTTTAGTGTAGCGTGGTGTAGTCTACACTGCACTAGACAGTCACGTGCACGAGCCCCTTCACTTGTGCACGGACCACGATATGCTCGGAGTGGTGCCGGACCATGGCCGCCGGAGAGCGTCTCGCCTTTGCAACTCCACCCACATTGCATTCATCACATCCCGCCGTCCGGCACGTGACGGCGTCTCTCCTACGGAAATGGCACGACTGCCACCCTGTCGAGGTCGGGCCCACAGCAGCCTTGACAGCATCTCTTAAAGCCAGTCGGAGTCGTTCTTGTACACCACTGCATCCGTTCTTCGTCGCCTACTCAGTGCACACACACACACCTCTTGCCTAACATGGCCTTGTACACCTACGACACACGCCCCAGCTTCTCTGCGGACGTCCTCGTCCGGGGCACCCCAGAATACGATCGTTGCCGCCGCAACAACCCCAGTGCAACAACACCAGAACGCTACCCACGCGAAATACATGTGGTCAAGTCACCCAAACAAGTCTCGGCAGCTCTCCAACGAGCCACCGAACTTGGTATGACGGTTGGTATTCGTGGCTCCGGCCATGCCTTTCCTCTGAGCGCACTGATCCAGGACGGCATACTCATCGACACTTCCAGCTTGAACCGCTATGTCGACTATGATCCCCACTCCCGTGAGATCTCTTTTGGTCCTGCTGTACGGGTAGAGGAAGTCGCGGCAAAGCTTGCAGAGGTTAAGCGCTTCTTTCCTCATGGCCATGCGCCTACCGTCGGCGCCGCAGGCTTCTTGTTGGCCGGAGGACAAGGCTGGTTTGTGCGAGGTTGGGGAGCCACATGCCAGGAATGGATCACTCAGATGGAGATTGTGGTCCCCGACGGCCGCATTGTCATTGCCAGCCCTACCGAGAACACTGACCTGTTTTGGGCCGCCAGAGGCAGCGGCTTGGGCTTTTTCGGTGTCGTAACCAAATTTTGGGCCCGCACAATTCCAAGCTCTCAGCTCTGGGAACGCACTTTTACTTTCCAGCTCCGCGACAAGTACGAGACCTTGTTGACATGGTTCTTCGAAAAGGCCGAAGAAACCCCCAAGTATGGCACCGATCTCAATCTCACCATTTTCTATCCGGAAAAGTACGACAACACCATCCTCACAGACGACATACCCAAGACATCCCAGCTACACCTAGGCCTCAGTCTTCTTTGCTATTCTGACACTGAACGGGAAGCTCGGACCCTACTGAGTGCTTACGACAACGTTCCGGAGAGTGTGAAGGACTGCCTGATTGACATGCGCCCTGTTTCAAAACGAGAATTCACCGACATATTCGACAAGAAGCGCGAGTTCATTGGAAACAAGTATGGCGAGAACTGGCAGATTCTCAGTCTTCTCAGCGAACCAAGCATTCCCATTCCACGAGTAAGTGTTGAAGCATGGATAACAATAGATTGTTACTGACAATTTTCAGCTTATCGAAGCCCTGAAGCCCGCTCTCACTGAGCTCGAAACGCGCATTACGTCGGTGTTTATCTGCATTTGCGATATTGTCGCCAACGAGAAAGTTGCTTCTCTGAGCATCCCACAAAAGTACTACATATCTACCGTCACAGGCTGGCTCGACCAAAAAAAGGGACCTGCGATCAAGCAACGGATGCTCGAGCGATACAAGCGCGCTCTACCGGTTGCATGCGGCACATATCCTGCAGACTATGATCCAAACGTTGAAGATGCAAATGTAAGCCGGGTCTAAGCCCACGTCGCTGCTGACATGGTAGAACTGACAATATGAACAGAGTAAACCTATGTCTGACACTGCGCTCGCCAAGTTCCTCAAGATCCGAGAGAAATGGGACCCTAATGACATGTTCCCCAACTACAAGCAGTTTATCAAGACGAATGAGAAGATCAACAGGCTCATGACGAAGCCTTCGCTTTAGACGCTAATGATGAATGAGGGCAGGGATTTTATTTCCCTTTCCCTGATTTATTCCCGAATGACTTGAAAGACGAAAAGATCGAATTGTACAAAGACTGTAGTCAGCCAGATGTTTCGAAAACTTGCGTGATCCTTCACTGCAGGAAATGAATGTGTCATCAATCTTCTCAAATCAACAGTTTCCATGTGCGTCGTGAACTTGAATGCCTGGGATGGAGAGCTATGCCTATGTTTTGTCGCATTACTCAACATTGCCTTTGCGCAAGTAGTATCAATCACTCGACAACCACGTTGACAGTCAGACACAGCACTTTCAAATGGCGCAGGCATAGAATTCATCTTTTTATTTAGTTGTCAATCAACTGCAGATGGTAAGGTATGATGAGCACTGATCAAATTGAAACAGCCAAGCCAGAATACAATGCAATCGAGTGACGATCCAACGCTTCCTGACAGCACTACAATCTTGGTCAATAGTACTTGTCAGCTATCGAGATGCTTGCGTGAAGGGTATTCCAAATTTCGAAAGAGGTTAGTACCAGCAGGGCTGCCCAGGAAAGAGAGGCGCTGTTATTGGAAAACTCGACCCTTCACATCCCTGCATGGTTAGACATGTCTGCAGTCGCTTGCTCAGCGCTAGTAGTAAAGCAAGCAGGGCGCGGACAGCTTCCGCGAAGGACTGCGCGGAAGGAATACCGCATAAACGGGGCAATACCCTGAGCTCCACTTTTCCGCCGGCATGCTGCATGTAGGAACATGCGCCATGGGCGTTGTTGAACCCAGGGCCAAGTCGCCGTTAGCATCGGAAGTTCCGAAACCGCGGAATCCGCCGCCGCCAACCGTTGTGGTGACGACTTTGGTCTGGCCTGGATGATTGGCAGGGTTGCTGCGATTGGTGCAAAGAGTAGGGATTCTCGATTTGGTAGTCGTGAGCATGGATCGGACATGCCCCCGGCTTCTTTGGACGTGAGAGAATAGTTCAGATCGAAAGCATTGTTGACATCTAGACGACACAGCAAACAATACACAGCAGTGACATCATTCTATTTTCCTCCAGTTCGAAATCATGGCTCAATCCATCGAGACGCGCCTCTTCATCAACAATGAGGTATGGATGACCATCACAACAATATCTAGACACATCTAACCACGCGTTACCAGTTCCGGAATGCTCGCTCTGGCGAGTCGTTTACCGTTAAGCGATCCTACGACGACTCCACCATCGCAGAGAATGTACAGATAGCTGGCGAGCAAGATGTAAACGACGCTGTCGACGCAGCTCATGCTGCATTCAAGCACTGGCGCAGGACGCCGGCCCCCGAGCGTGCAAAGTGCATGCTCAAACTCGCCGACTTGATCGATGAGAATCTCGAGTGGCTTGCTGAGCTTGAGACGGCTGCAATGGGCGCCCCAATCTCAGCTACCAAGTGGATTGCATCCACAATGTCAACCTGGTGGCGTTACTACGCTGGCTGGACCGACAAGCTCGGCGGAGAATCTCTCCAAGACCTCGATGGCTCATACAGAATGGTTCGATATGAACCATTGGGCGTATGTGCGGGCATTGCGTCCTGGAATGCCACCCTCTTCTACCTCTGCTGGAAGATTGCTCCAGCCGTAGCAGCCGGCAACACCTTCATCTTCAAAAGCTCAGAGAAATCACCTCTCGGTGCCCTTCGTTTCGCCGACCTAGTCCGCCGCGCAGGCTTCCCACCTGGCGTCATCAACCTCGTCACCGGCTTCGGCCCAACCGGCGGCCTCCTCGCTTCTCACCAAAAGATCCGCAAGATCAGCTTCACGGGGTCCACCCTGACAGGCCGCAAAATCCAAATCGCGGCCGCAAACAGCAACCTCAAGCGCGTGACGCTCGAACTCGGCGGCAAATCCGCCGCCATCGTCTTCGATGATGCAGACATGGACGAGGCCCTTACGCACATGTCTCAGTCTTTCCTGCTCAACTGCGGCCAGGTCTGCGCCGCGACTTCGCGCCTCCTCGTCCAGGACACCATTGCAGAGACCTTTGTCGCAGAGCTCAAGATGCGGTTCCAGGGCTTCGCAAATGCCCTCGGAGATCCCAGCGACCCAAACACCTTCCTCGGCCCCATTGCAGACCGCATGCAACGCGACCGCGTAAACTTCTTCATCGACGTCGCCCGCAACGAAAACCTCAACATCCTAGCAGGCGGTAAGTCACAAGGGCCTCAGAGCCAATTCATCCAGCCAACCATCATCCTCGACCCCCCGTCGTCGAGCACGCTGTACCGCGACGAGATCTTCGGACCCGTACTGGTCATCAAGACGTTCAAGTCCGAAGCCGAGGCCATTGACATGGCGAATGATTCCGCCTACGGGCTTGGAGCGGCGCTGTTCACCAAGGATGTGCCGCGGGCCCTGAGGCTGTCGTCGGACCTTGAGTGCGGGTTTGTGGGTATCAATATGCCAATTGCGCCGTCGGCTTATACGCCTTTTGGAGGGTCCAAGGAGAGTGGCTATGGTAGGGAGGGAGGGAGGATGGGGTTGATGGCCTATATGGAGCCCAAGACTGTCGCGATTGCTATGAAGCCGAGACTGTAGGTGGGCCCTTTGTGCAGTTTAGTTATTGGAATTTAATCTTTCTCTCGAGATTTTGCTCTCGTGCTCGTGAGACCTTGTGCTGGTGTACGTGATGTCGACGTATTCGATCCTCATGTTATTGTGCTTGACGAGTTCTTTTTGACTTGATCGAGAGGGTTGCTCAGCATCCTAAGCACTTAGTAACGCACGTTCGATCTGGCAAAAGCACTTTACGAAGTAGCAGAAGATAAGAAAGATCTTGGGATGATGTTCAAGGGGGATGCCTCTCCACAAATGCGGCAAACATCATTGTAGTACATTAACAACCCCTGCCCAAGGCTTGTAAGCCAAACAGCACAATTTACATCCCAAAATCATAACGAGACACTAAGTAGAGACATCTCCTCAGAACATTCAATCTCTCATCCCTCTCTCATCGCCATACCCTGCAAAACGAGCGTTGGCCCCGTATACATCTTTTTGGACCTGAACAAATAATCAATCGTAACAAGGATCAACACTCCTCCCAGCACCGTACTGGCATAATTCATGTTCTTCGGCGTGACGGGCTGCGCGGTCGGGAATAGCAAAAACACGCTCGTGAAGATCAGAAACCCAATCGACAGAAGATTCACCAGGATGCCTGCTTTGCCTAGCTTGAACGGTCCGGGAACAAGCATCTGGGGCGTCGCAATGCGGCGGTAGAGCATTAGGACGATGGGCATGAGATAGGAGAGGTTGAGTCCGACGACGGTGAGGGAGAGGATAGCGGCAAAGGCAGTCGAGGACGCGATTTGCAGCGCACCCAAAATGATGATAATGGCCGTGGACACCAGCAGCGACGTCACGGGAATCTGGCTCTTGCTTCCCAGGTGCCCCAATGCTGTGGAAAATGGGGTTCCGCCGTCACGGGCGAACGCCCAGAGGATGCGGGATGTCGCGGTTAGAAGGCCGAAGGTGGCCAAGGAGGCCGAGATGATGATGGTGGACGTCATTGCACTAGCGGCGGCCTTGTTGCCGCCTGTGACACTGGTGAAGATGTGGATGATGGGGAAGGCGCCAGAGGCGAGGGCTGCGTCGAGGGAGCCCATGTAGAAAAGGACGGGGAGGAGGATGGCAAAGCCCATGATGCCGTTGATGGCGATGGAGAGGAGCATAGCTTTGGGGATGTTGCGGGCTGGATTGGGTATTTCTTCCGACATGTGAGTTGCCGAGTCGTAGCCTTCAGATGTGAGAGTCAGCAATCAAGAGACTACGGAAGTGGTCGGGGTGCATACCTATCATGACATAGCAGGAGGTCAGCATTCCAAGGAACCAAGCGACGCCATCAGAGCTCCAACCCGTGCTGTTGCGGAACTCGGTGAAAACGAACTCGGCACTGTTCGCTTCTGGCTTCAAAGCCAGCAAGGCAACGAAGATGATAAAAAAGAAGCCCACGTGAAAGGTGAGAATGGCGTTCTGGATGTGGGGCAAGATACGGTTGCCCCAGAGGTTGAATGCAAGCGCTATCAGGGTAATTCCCCAATAGATGCAGCTGTTTTGCCATGGCTTGGGTGTGAAACTAGGATAGGAGAGCTGGATCAAGCCCAAGGTGAGATTGGCTGCTCCAAATGGAGCAGATGCTGTGAAAGCGTGCCATCCAAGAACTGTGAGCCATCCACAGTACCAGCTCATGGCGGCCCTGATTGATGGTGGGCTGAGTTCGGCAACGAACTGATATTGGCCGCCTGCAGAAGGAAACCTGATGGAAAATTGTCAATGATGCTCTAATCGTATGGCACTAATGCTACTCACATGGCTGCAGCCTCGGCCAGCGACATACTAGTCAGCATGTTCCCAGCAAAGGACACTACACGAAATTGTTAGCATGGAATTTTACTGCAGTTTCCAAGAAGCGTACGTACCAATGAACCCATAGACGAGAGAAACTGGTCCGCCGCTAACCAGACCAGATCCCATTGTACTGCAAAGCGCCTCCCACGTCGCCATCAAAGACACTGCAAGTGCCATCATGGAGAAGAATCCGTACACTTTCGGCGGCTGCAAAAATTAGCAATCCAGTTCGCGATAATTCGATGTTGCTGGCAGTAACTCACCTCCGCATGCCCCGCCTGCATGTCAAACGCCGTGACCTCGCCGATGCCATGTTCATCATCACTACCCTTGAGCTCGAAATCCATCATGCCCCCTTTGTTGCTGTGATTTGTGGGGTAAAGCTTCAGCCTCGAATCCGGAAGTTCATGCGAAGCACGCTGCGGCGTCTGCATGTCGACAGAAGCAAGAAGCACACAGTCACCTCAGCGAAGCGAAGGAGTCTGTGAAAGCAGAGATGGCATCTGTGCTGGCCAGCGACACGGTTATAGGGATGGGACATTGTAAAAGAACGTGACGGCGCTATATGCGGCCGTTCCGAACAAGCGCTCGACTTATCCGAAAGAGGGAGAGCTTATCAGAGCATCTTGAGTCAGTGTTGCGACAGATAGTGTGGCAGGCCCATGAACCCTGAAAGATTGGGGGTTTGTGCGTGGGGCCCGACGTAGATACGCAACTTGTTGTCGACTCCGGAAACTACTCAGCAAGGCATCAACAAACGGGGTCGCATGCAGATAGTGTTGCGGGCTGGCATATACGACGGAACATGCTGGGGTCACAATTGGGTGTATTACAGCTCTTTTGCAATCACGTCAGCATATACGCGTCTATATTTATTACTCCTAACTAATCTATTACTAAAAGAAGATGAGATTTTCTCGCTGTTCTCCCTTATGTCCTATACAGAACAGTCTTTAAGCATCTCGACAAACTTCAATTAGAAGATAGCTCCACTGTAGAAACCCGCAAAGAACAACAAGAGGATTTTACAAGAAGAATGCACAAATAACAATTGAATGATAAAATGTGGAAAGGACGTTTTGAGGATAGAAAACTGAGTACTAATCGAGCAGTTGCTACCCCAACAAGAACCCCTATATGTTCCGTCGTATCTGGCCCGGCGCAGTAAACAAGCGGAAACAAGGGCTGCGGGGCCTGCTGCAAGGCAGCCCAGACAATGGCCGGGACAGTGAGACTACAGCAAATGGACCGACGCTTAGGCTTCGCCCGGGCATTCTCCCTCGATAGTACACATCACCTGGTACTAGTTTAGCCACCCCCGCATTTGATGAGAACTGAGAGTGTTACTGTTTCCATGGGTCTGGAGTTCTAGGCCTGCTCATAAACCTTCTTTGACGCGTGGCTGACGGGATGGAAATGTGGAGGTCGGACCTCACCTACACCCACGGTGGCGATAAGGAGCCCACACTTCACGTGTACACTACTCAACGCTGTGCTTTCAGGTGTAATACTAACCAAAGTGGATGGGCTAGCGAAATAGAGTTGAAATCTCACGTTATTGTTGGACATGGTCAGTGGAACAGTATTTACAAAATGCTTAAATGCTACACTTCCTACTTCTGGGTGCTATCTACCCAAGTGACAGACTTGTACTGCACAAACTCTTCGAGCCCTTGTTTCCCGTTAAACCTGCCAAAGCCGCTCTTCTTAAACCCACCATGCGGCAAAGCAAACTCATCATGCACAGTCATTGTGTTGATATGAGCAGCTCCAACCCTCAGTTGCCTCGCAACCCGAAGGCCAGCCCTCAAGTCCTCTGTAAAGACGGCGCCAGCCAGTCCATACTCTGTATCATTACCCAGTGCGATTGCTTCTTCCTCAGTGTCAAAGGCATATAGCGATACACTCGGACCGAATGACTCTGTGCCATAGATGTCCATGTCGGGCGTAACGTTGCCTAGGACAACTGGAGACATTTTCGATTCGACGTTGGTGTCGACTACAGCAGGATTACCGTAGACGAGACTGGCGCCCTTGTCGAGTGCATCTTGTAGCAGTATTCTGTTCTTCTTTGCGGAGGCGTTGGTAATGACGACTGGGCAGTTGTCTGCAGCACCAAACGTCTTGCTGATGGCTTCCTTGAGTTGCGATTTGAAAGCCTCCGCAATGGACGAGTGGACGAGGATGCGTTCGGTAGACATGCAAATCTGGCCAGCCTGTCGCAGAAAATATCAGAAACAGTCAAGCAGCTTATTTTCATCCATGAGAGAGTGTCACTTACATTCAAGAAAGCACCCAGCGCGCATTGCTCCGCAGCATTACTGAGATCAGCGTCCTTCAGGACAATGGCACTTGCCTTGCCACCCAACTCCATAAGCACCGGCTTGAGATGCTTCCCGGCAATAGAAGAAATGACACTTCCCACATGCGAGCTTCCCGTAAAGTTGACCTTGCGCACAGCCGGATGAGCAATCAGTGTCTCTGTAATCTTGGGTGCATCAGCAGGACGGTGGAAGAGGAGATTGAGCGCTCCATCCGGCAACCCAGCTTCTCTGAAGACATCTGCAATAGCCCAGTAGCACCGTGGTGATAGCTCTGGGCCTTTGAGAATCGCCGTGTTGCCCGTGGCGAGCGCAAATGTGACTGCGCGGAAGCCTAGGTGGTACGGAGCATTCCTGTCGCACGACCCAACACATCAGCCTCGGTCATATTATTCGAATTGCACACAACGCGTACAGGAGTTGAGCAAGATGGTGCAACGTACCAAGGGCCGATTCCTAGCACCACGCCATACGGCTCACGATAAACAATGCCATGCGCACCATCATGTATCAAGTGAGGCACAAAGCCCTGCACCGCCTCTGGAATCCTCCCAGCCGTATCCTTTAGCCCTTCAATCGACAAGCCCAGAATGAAATCTTGGTAGTACTGATCCGCTCCAATCTCATGGTGCATGTAATCTCCCAGCTCCCTCTTCCGCTTGGTAATGATGTCGGCAGCTCGCAAGAAAATGTCTCGGCGGACTGATGGCTTGGTCTGCGACCATGCCGGAAACGCCTTTTCGGCTGCTGCTACGGCAGACAGCGCATCTTGTTCCGAACATGATGACGAGTTCCAGACGTGCTTTCCAGTGGCGGGGCTCTGGACTTGGAACGATGTGTCGGTTGTGACATCTCGGCCGTTGATGATGAGGGGGATTTGGTACGCATCACGGCTTCGCAAAGATGCTGTCAAGTGGAAGGATCGAGATGGCTGGTAGTTCTTGCAGAGGGCCCTGGGCAGCTGCCCCGATGTCTTCAAAAGTCGCATCATCCTGTTCCTTGTGTGCAACGGTTTCAATGGCGGGGGGGAGCTGCAAGAGCTCAATCGCATTTATGGTTTCTGAAGTCTGCAGTTGCTCACGATGATAGTAGTTTAGACCCTTGATCGTTCAGACCCCTGATCCTTGATCGGCCGTTTGGCGATTCAGGGCCCATTCGTCATGCCGTTTCGGGGGTGATGCACGCGGCTCGTAAGTACTAGTAGTAGCATTCCGGAAGCCGCGCCATCCTTCCGCACAGCGTTCCGCCGCAGTTTGGAGCGTGCGGGGGAGGCGCTTGGCTGCTGAAACCCCATTACACGCACTCGGCACAGAGACCTCATCGACTTTTATGCTTCATCTCGTGACCTTGGATCGAATCTTGTCCATGGTTGCCATTGAGGTTTTCGGAATCTACAAAAAATAGTACTACTTGTACTGAACTTCACCAAGATATACTGCAAAACGCCTCCCTATTCCCTAAGCCTTGACTCCGTTCGTGCCCTTGCGAGCAGCCAGTTTCTCCGCAACGTCTTTGTGCATATCGTATCTGTATTCAGCGTCAGCAAATGCATTCTCTCCAAACTACCAGAGTACCCACGTGTTCATCTCATCAATTGTGAGTTTGTTCTTCTCGTCCTGGACCGTGTAATGAGGATCTTGCTTGTTGCTGGAGAAGCCAATGCGCTCGTGTATGTTCTCGCTCGCTCGCGCCGAGGCCGCCTGTACCTTTGTTCCTCTCGGCTTCCTGACTTCTTCGAAAACCTCAAGAGCTTGGCGAATGTCGCCGTTGAAGTTCTTCTTGCTGAAAATCGTGCCAAGAGCTCCGGCGTCCTCGATGGACTGGCAGGCTCCCTGACTCTGATCAGGCATCATCTGCAAATGATTAGTGTTAAAGCTTTACTTAGCCATGGTAACTAGCATACCGGGTGTGCGGCATCTCCGATGATGCATGCCACTCCTTTCTGCCAGTACGGGTACGGCTGGTGCTTCCAAAGCCTCCACGGTCGAATCTCGTAGCCAATTTCCAAGTGCTTGAAGACCTGGCGGTCCAAGTCTGGATACGGCGCGAGCAACTCTGGCAGGGTGGCAGCCTCGTCCCAAGATTGATTCTGGAAGTCACCCGCTTCACGCGGAAAGAAGCAGTAGTAAGAGAGAAGTTTTCCACCATTGCAAGGTGAAAGGACAATCTTGTAGTGCGAGTGATACCCACCCCAGTATTCGATTGCAGCGTTCTTGGAGTAGTCGACCAGCCCGAGCTTGACGGCTTCCTCAGTGTCTACGTTGGTGTGCAAGCAGCTCCAGGATGCTGGGACCTTGTCAACTTTGATGCCAAGTACACTTCGAACAGTCGAACCAATGCCATCGGCGCCGATGATGACGTCGTGTTTAGCCGTGACACCGTTCTCGAATGTGACCTCGCCAGTTTCGAGGTTCACGTCTTTGGCCTTGTGATTGACTTTGAGTACTGCGGGCACGCCTTCTCCACGCTGGCCAACCGCACTATCCATAAGCATGGCATGCATGTACTGCCGGTGGAACATGTAGTAGTGCTACCAGACATAAGTTACTAGTCCCAGACGAGATAAGAACCGCTTACATAACCCCATTTTTCCTTGTAGTCATGGAGGTCGTAGACACTCGCCGGTTCGCCAGTTTTCCAGTCGCGGCTAATGAGCTGCTTTAGAATAACTGGGTCACCAAGTTCAATGTTCACTCCCCATTCCTCGAGCCACCTTGTGCCGTTTGCCGCGCAGGATATGGAGGCTCCGACTTCTCCTGCAAAATCTGCACGCTCGTAAATTGTCACAATGTGTCCTTGCCGTCGAAGGGCAATGGCAGATGCTTGACCCCCAATGCCTCCGCCAATGATGCCCACATTGAGCACTCTCCAACCTGGTTGAGTCATGGTGTTTTGTGTTATTTGTATGATGGGTTGCCGCAAATTGAAATATGACTGAGCTTCAGCAGCGGTAAAGATCCGCTGATGTGATGTTGAAGCAAATGTTTGCAGCTCTAAAGCATGAACTGGTCTATTACTTAACTTTGTCCTACGGGCTCTTGATATCCTGTCCAACCTTGATGCCCCTCACGCGACCTCCTAGCCCACGGATTCAGGGTTTCGCGCGGCCGGCGACAACATACTTGGCTTGTCATGGAGTCGATCTGGAATTCTGTCTTGTTTCTTACCGGACTCGCTTGCGATCGCCCGTTGATTGCGATGCACAGTCGGAACTTCCTACACCATTCCGGAGTGTATTATGTCAGCATCCACCGTCACATGCAGGTGCATGCCTCAAAGAAGAAAAGGAAATAGCGAGGGAATTCAGTGAAGCAGTGCTTTCAAGTTGAGCAAAGTTCCATCGAAGCGAAACAAGAACCAAACAAGGTTGGTGGTCGCTCGCAAAAAAGGAAGCCGTTCACTGACATGCGTAGTCGACTGGCATTCGCTTTTCCCAATCGATAATACCGCATAAACCAACTATATCACCAGCAGAGCAAGTCGTCGAACATGGCTTCCAAAGTGCGCGCATCATTTGAGCTCACTGGACGCAACTATGTCGTCACAGGTGGTGCCCAAGGCATCGGACTGGCATTGACAAAAGGAATTGCTGAAATGGGCGGTAATGTTGCTGTCCTGGATCTTCAAGACAAACCACTCGATCATTTTGCACAACTGGCCAAGGACACGGGTGTCAAGATTCCATACTTCCGCGCCGATGTGGCAGATGAAAGTTCGCTCAAAAAGGCGTTTGCAGACGCAGTTCAGAGCCTGGGAAGCGTGGATGGTCTCGTGACTAGTGCAGGGATCGCGCTCGAGAAGCCATTTGCGAAAACCACTGCCGCGGAAGTAAACAAGATACTGCAAGTCAATGTAAGCCTCCTCTATTCGCCTTGGACTCAATGTTTGGGCTAATATCCCACGACAGGTAACTGGCACATACACGGCAACACAGCTGTTCGCCGAGCAAATCGAAAAGCAAGGAACCGGAGGATCCGCCGTCTTGATTGCTTCTATCACATCACATACCGTACTCCCAAGCCACAGAATGTCCGCCTACTCGGCGTCAAAGGGTGCGGTCAGGCAGCTTTCTCAAGTACTGTCTACAGAATTAGCGCCTCTCGGGATCCGGGTCAACTCGATATCGCCTGGCTTCATTGACACTGAGCAGACCAAGTTTGTGCGCGACCACAACCCGAAGATTGCAGAGTTGATGTTCAATGCACCGCCGCTCAAGCGCATTGGTACGACGGATGACTTGGTCGGGTCGGTAGTATACCTTTTGAGTGATGCGTCGAGCTATACGACGGGCACGGATATTGCGATCACAGGTGGCTTGCATATCGGACGACAGATTGATACTTGAATTTTATAGCGGAATAGATCTTGCACCTGAACAATCGAATGCACTGAAATGAACGCTTCATGCTGGCGCTTGCATTTTCCCTATTCCTTTCGTGTGGGTATCAACCACTCAGTTCGGATCACTACAACTCTGAGAGAACGACTTTGGTTTGTGGGTCCTGTTCTGTCCCCATCCCCCTTTTGCATGCAATCAGGTGCAAACAGTCATGAGACTTGGACACATGAAGTTTCTGCCAACATCCTCCCCGAAAACCCAAGTTGATTCTGCCCGCAACCATCTCCCCTCGGTAATTGGAGAATGAAGTTGATGGATAATCAGAGTGTTCATTTCCAAAAACACTGCAGATCAAACAGTGTTCTAGAGCAAAGTTCATGACGAATTGAACATGCTCGGTTGTTCCGTAAGAGAAAAGTTAGTGATGCCGAGAAGGTAATATTTCGGGGCGCTAATACCGTGGAGACTAGACTGGGGTGCATGGCGGTAAGCTGTTTAGGCCCCTCGCGTTCCGTGTACCCCAGCTGCATGTCTCTCGTCCGACTGTGAGCAATGTGTTTACAGACATGTCAGGCGACACAGATTCCGCAGATGCGACACCTTCCGTCCCAGTCGGCTAGTCCTCTAACCGAAAGCTTCATCACGGCTTTCCACTTTTCAAGCGGCATGCTACATATTACTAGAAATTGAACACATCAGTAACCGTTGATGACGGATTTATTTGCTCGTCTGCTCCTCCATATTGACTGATCAGCTCCGAAGACCCTCACCTCGAATGCTTCGTGTCACAGTTGGCTATTTTGATTGTACTGAGAACAACTACATGCTTGGTTTTCAAATAATCTAAGCTTTCTTCCCTTCCTAATCAACATTTCCAACCTCTCAACGACTTGATCAAGATAGGCAACTAGAAATGGCCGCCGAACATGATCTTGTCGTGGTTGGAGCCGGTATGTCATTGTCGCAACTTCTCAACTCACGTGTGCCAAGTTAAACAATAATGCGCAGGCTGGTTTGGTCTCGCTGCCGCAAAGTCTTACATCGAACTTCATCCCGGTGAAAGCATTGTAGTCCTCGATGGCTCGAGCTCCTTTGGCGGGACATGGTCAGCCGACCGTCTATACCCTGGGCTGAAGTCGAACAACCTGTATGGGTCGTACGAATACCCCGACTTCCCCATGCTGCAATCAGTATATGGCGTGAAAGAAGGCCAGCACATTCCCGCCGCAGTGCTTCACCGCTATTTGACGGACTTTGCCAAACATTTTGGCATCTATGAGCGGACGAGACTGAACACCAAGGTGGAGGGGGTCGAACCTAGCTCCACTGGTGGGTGGCTAGTAAACGTTGTGAATGCAAGTGGTGAACCCGAGACGGTCAAGACCAAGAGATTGGTGCTTGCATGCGGACTCACTTCGCAACCCAACATCCCCCAGTACGAGGGAGCCGACACGTTCGAATCACCCTTCTTTCACGCTAAAGACTTCTGCAAGCGCTCAGACACGGTTGCTGCATCCAACACTGCTGTCGTAGTAGGAGGCGGCAAATCTGCAATGGACATCGCTTATGCCTTTGCGACTGAGGGTCACGCCACTGTAAACCTAATCATACGGCCAACAGGACAAGGTCCCGTATGGCTCGCCCAATCATATGCGACACCATTTAAAAGAGATATGCAAGAGCTTCTTCACACACGAGCATTGACTTGGTTCAGCCCGTGTGCATGGGGAGATGAGGACGGATTCGCGATACCGCGAGGCTTCCTTCACCGTACTGGCATGGGAAGGTTGCTCACCGACAACTATTGGAACAACATGACAGCCGAGATAATCGAGACAAATGGATATGACGACCACCCCGAAGTTTTCAAGTTGAAACCATGGAATCCAGTGTTCTGGACCGGCAGCGGCCTTGGCATCCACAACTTCGAGACCAACTTCTTCGACCTAGTAAAAGAGGGCAAGGTGCGCGTCCACCTCGCCGACATCTCCAAGCTCGATGGCAAAACCGTTCACCTCACAGACGGCGAGCAAATCTCTACCGACGTCCTCATCTGCGCCACCGGCTGGAAAAAAGACGTGCCCTTAACCTTCACAAACCTGCCCCAAGGCGGCATTGGTCTGACACAAACCGGCCAAGAAAGAGCCGACCTGATCGAAAAAACCAACCGCGAGGTCCTCGAAATGTTCCCAGGGCTCAAGCGCCAACCCGTCCTCCGCTACAAGCGCAAAGACGACGACCTCCACCGCATGTACCGCTTCATGGTCCCTCCTGCCCTGGTCAACCAACGAAACCTCGTATTCGCAGGCATGGTATCGACCACCAGCACCGCACTTTTCGCTACCATGCAAGGTCTCTGGATCTCTGCTTTCTTCGACGGCAAGCTGGCACGTGTCGCCTCCACAGAGCAAGAAATCACTGCAGACGTCCTACGGCACACGCAGTGGGGAAGGTACAGGTTTCCGTGCGGCTACGGAGACTCGATCCCGGACTTTGCATTTGAGTCCATGCCGTATATAGATATGTTGTTGAATGATGTGGGCATTGAGACGCATCGCAAGCGGAATCAGATTGCCGAGATATTTGAGCCGTACAAGCCTTGGGACTATAAGGAGTTGGCGAAGGAGTATCTGGCGCTCCGTGAGGTGAAGGAGATTGAGGATAAGAAGGTTGCTTGAAGTTATGGCCCTGTTGACGATTGATGTTGGAACTGATGAATGGGTTTTGATCTTTTGGTAGGGCATATGTGGCTAAATTGGGGCTTACGGTGTTCTTTTTTTCACTCTAGTAGCGGCTAAAGCTTTCGTTCAATGCAAAGCTCCATATACATTCAATCATAATAATGAGAATCATGGTGATCGAGAGTGTACAGTGACGATTGCTTTCCCGGACTGCATTTTGAAAACCATCGAGAGCTGCCATTGGGTTTATGGATACTTGCTCAGATTCAAAGGCTACTTGGCCCAGGAGACTGACAACAAAGTACTAGTCCCAAAAGTAAATGAAGGAGTGAAAACGGATGTGAAGTCGTGAATGAGATACACGTGAACTAGCAACAGCGGCTTGAGCAATCTGCATGCACCTCACTGTCTGCTGTGTTAGTGTCAGCTGAAAATGTAGTTAAAGCAACTGTCGAATTTAAAACGAAAGTTGATCTATGTGCCTGGAAATTTACAAACGACGGCATTTATGAGCAGGCGGAGGTTGCAACTCCAAGGAAAAAATACCATGTTTTCATATCCCAGTGCTTGCTGCATGTAAAGTCTTGGAAGTGAGCGGGTGCAGCTTCTGGATGTATAAGTGCGATTGGTTGTGATCCACAGTTGACGTTTTATGTATAACGCTCAATGCCTTGAAACATGTTGCGTGCTCAATATCACCACTGGGGTTGGATGAGGTCAACGCCCCACTAATAGCAGGGCAAAGATGATGTGAACGACTGAGATGAGAATATCGTGTGTGCCACAACAAAGCGTGCTGCTGTGTTCAACCAAAAGGTAAGTCGTGGCAAGACCGCACAAAAGGCTTGCTGCAACTGACAGTTCTTTCTTTCCTTCTCCTTCTTTCAGTTACACTGACTAGCCAATGAGATCTCAAGGTCGTGAAGACACATTTGGGAAACAGCAAGGGGGAAGGCACCACTAGTTCACCAGTGTCAGGGCAGTCAGTGGTAAGCCTCACTGGACTCTTCTGGTGGTTCTTAGCACTAACCCTACCCTAACCAACGGCAGATAACTTCTACTTCAAAACACTCTCTCGTTTGCCAGCAGAGTCAATCTCCAAGGATGCGCTTCTCATCCATGGTCAATATTCACCTAACCCTCCTTTTCGCATCCCTCGTCCCCCTCCCCTCTTCAGTGTCGCAGGCGAATTTTGCAGCGACGAATTTTCCGGCCTCGCCGGCGGTAGTGGGAAGCGCTCCTTTATTCTTCGCGTTAGGAACAATGCCGTTGTGAAGAAAACGCTGGGTTTCGAGGGGTGTGCACTCAGGCTCACGAACAAAATCGGGGGTTGCAGTACAGGGTGAGGTGAGAGGACTTTGCTGGACCTCTTCTTCGGGTGAGTTAAATCAGTTGCGCAGGAGCGATTGGGGATGGGATTGCTGACAAAGGAATACACAGAACCAATCCCCGATTGTGTTTCCGCTAAACGTAGAGGAGGTCCTTCTGGGCGGGTGTCAACTGGATGAGGGTTGTGCGTTGCGAAGAGGTGCTGGAATTTTCCATCCCATGGTCTTGCAACCTTAATAAAGTATTTTCGCAGTCGAATTCGATCAAATAGTAGTCCGACTGTTTCCTGCTAAAATCTTTACATTCGCAACTTCTTTGAGATTTATAACCGATGTCTAACTATATGATACGATTTTATCAGAAATTCGATAGCCACATCCATGACCTTTCGTGATTTTGGCAGTCGCAAAATTTGTCGACAGTGAACTAGACGTTGTGTACATAAACCGAAACAACCAGAATGATCAGTAGAAACTCCACAAGCTGAATTCATTGAAGCAAGTAACTGTTTTTGTTGATTCGTACTGACAGAGTGCGTTGCGATTCTTCTGTACAGTTTGTCAAAGTACCTTTTCCCCCTGACTGACAAACTAATAAGCCTCTCACCAGTCGCGTCATAAAATTCAAAAAGTCAAGCCTCCTCAGAACCTCTCGCAAAGACTACTACTTGGTCCTAAAATGCCTCTCCCTAGCCAATTCATATCTCCTTTCTGCCATTGGTAGGATCGCTCTCCCGCTCCTGGGCCTGCCCGTCGCCGTACGCAAGAACACACGAGATTGCCTTTGCGCGCTGCACATGAACTTCAGGCTACTCGAAGCACACCTTGCCAAAACCAAGCATCTAGCCGATGGCGGACCTGTCCACAGCGGGCACTATGTTGTTTGGCGTCATGGTATTTCATGTAGTGCTGAGAGAACGATATCCAAGCTATGCGAGTGGCTTCATCACGTGCATGGGATTCAAGAGTTCAAGATTGTCGTGGGGAGTTGCGGTCTTTGTATTTGCCGGTACCGGCTTTAGAGGTGGGTAGAGAGACGTTAAAAATGCTGGTGGATGATTCACGACCTTCTCAGTCACATGATAGTTGGGATTGGTTTTTGAAGATTGAGGCTCTTGGGTAGTTGGAACAATCAAGTTACAAACCATGCTACCTACGTCACCCTTCCACACAACCTCTTCTTCTTGATCGTCGATATAACGACTCATCAAGACACCTCCTATCACGTGGCCTCACAATATAGGCATACAACGCAACTGAAGCTCACAGGTCGGTGAATATGCCGTGAGGGACCGTGGCAACGAGCCTCCGTGGGGTGCTTTGTCACTGATCTGACCCGCAAGCTTATGCAGCGTAAGCAGACGTTCAGCTTATTCACTCTCTCGGTTTCCCGGAGACCGTAACCCCGACCTGCCAATTGCGGTGGCTGTGTACTTCGGGGCCCAGCATAAGAAGCTGTCGGCATAGTCAGGCGTCTCGGACCCCGGCCCTTCCCTTGCGAACGCCATGTTGCACTGCAGCCTGGCAGGAGCAAGGCCGCAATCGCATGATCACAAAGGGATATCTCATTATAATCTAGCTCACTGTGATTCTGCCCTCTCTCTTAATCCTGTCCACTAGCTATAAATGCTTCGTCCCCAACCCTATTCTGCTATCATTCCCAACAAGACACCCAAAAATGAGTCCAAGAAGTTTGTTCGTTACTGGTGGCACTGGATACATTGGCGGCGTTCTCATCAAACTTGCCATTGCTGATGGTTACGTGGTTAGTAGTTACATGTTGTACCGTATTCCGTCCTGACCACATCGACTGACAACACACTTGACATGCAGGTGCACGCTCTTTCCCGCAATGAAGACAGTGACGCCAAACTACACGTCTTGGGAGCTGAACCCATTCGAGGCGACCTAGCCTCCCTGGACGTGCTGCGACAGGAAAGCGAGAAGGCTGATGGCGTCATCAATCTAGCTACTGCCTATGTCTTTGGCCAAGGGAAGTACGAGGACGCACTCCCCATTGACAACGCCGCCGTCGATGCCATGTGCGACGGTTTGGTCGGCACTAGTAAGCCTCTGATCACGATTTCGGGTACTCTGTCCGCACAGGCCAATCCGAATGGAAACGAGACAGATGAAGACGCCCCTCCAGAGCCCAGCCATCTCAATGTGCGCATCCAAGCTGAGAACCATGCTCTCGCTCAGGTAAAAGAGCGAGGTGTTCACGTCATGGTCATCCGTATGGCACCCTTTACCTATGGTCGTGGTGGCAGCGGCATCGCGCGCTTCATGGGTATGGCAAAGGCCATGGGCGGGATCCCTACCGTGAATGGCGGTGGGAACCGCACCACAGCCGTGTATGTGGATGACGCTGTCCGTCTCATTCTTTTGGCACTGGAGAAAGGAGAGGCTGGCGATGTGTTCAATGCGGGATCGCAAACCGAAGTCACCATGGCCGCCCTGTTGAATGCTATCAATTCTTCGGTCGGTGCGCCAAACAAGGACATTACTTACGACGAAGCCTTGGATAAATTCGGAGAAAACATCGCATGGTTTCTTAAGGCTGAGAACAGGGCTTCAGGGATGAAGGCAAAAAAGAAGCTTGGGTGGCAACCGAAGGGCACTCCGCTTCTTGAAGATATCGAGTCTGGCTCATACGCTGTCAAAATGTAGGGTCCAGTGGGAAGCTCCAAGCTGGGATCACGCATGTTAATGTTCAACCGCATTGTATAGATTAAACTAAATTTTTCTTTCAAGGAAATATCAATGACAATCGTGCTGAACTTAGTAGCATAGCAAACATGTGGCTCGGTGTTATTTCAAGCGCATAGAGAAACAAATTTAGATACTTAATAGCCTGGCTGGCGGTGCTAAGGAGAGGCGCAGCTCTAGCTATATTTATTCTATCTACTACCTAAGCTGCAAGCCTGTACCGCTACTAGCTGGGCTGTTAAGCACCTACTTTATATTTGATATAAGGCGCGCCTGCAGCGCGCGCTCTTTTCCTCCAGCAACGCTTACGGAGAGCAGAACCTTTGGCTCATTCTGTAGCTTTCTCTCTAGCTGGTATAGCTAGTGTAGCTAGTCAGATCTTGGAGCCGGGTTTTTTGGCCAATTCTCAGCTCGTTTTCTAGCCGGTTTTTAGATAGGCTGGCAGAAATCCGGGTGTTCACCACGTGACTAGACACTATCTAATAACGATGATTCTATACACCTTGGTACACCAATCAGGGTAAAGCTTCTTAGAGCCAATGAGATCGTGTTTCTATGCGCACTAAAATCCCTCTGGGTCTGATTGTAATACGTAGCTAAAGCTGCAAAAGTCGATGCAGAATACGTGGAAACTGGTGACCATGAAAGCGGCAAATAGCACACATTTGCTGGCATTTGTGGCTACTACTTTAAGGTACTAGCAAAGCTAAGTTTACGCTTTGCATGTACTAAAATGACTATTCTCAAAAATACTAAGCTGACCAAATCCATGCACCTAAGGTATGAGCCTCAGATGCACGACACTTTCCCCTAGCAAGCATTGCTAATCTTAAACCCTCCGGGAACCAGCCTCTGAAATGTTTGACCAGGGTCGTACCTCCTCGACACAGATTTCATGAACTCGACACTTTGCTTTCCATAGCCACAAAGCGGCTTTTGCGATGGAGCCGCGAAATTCTGATACAAGAAGCGATGGCGGTTTGCGCCCGCAGCTTTTGTCACCGCGTCGACCCACTCTCTTGCCATCTCATACATAGCTGCGTCCTGAGTCACATCAATCCATCGCGGTGTTATGAACGCCACAATCAGATCTTCTGCGTTTTCTTCTAGCCCGAGCACGTTTCCTCCTCGGACTGCAGAATGTGTCGAGGCTATCTTGGCGGTTGGCACATAGAAGTTGACCCAATCTAGGTATCCGACCGTCTTGTTGTACTTTAAGTAAACCTGATCCGAGGCATTGTGTACGGCGGATAGGGTAGCTGGATCATTTTTGAAGGTGACTGTTGCGGACGTGTCACGGAATCCGTCGGCTTGGTAGGTATCGAGCTCAGTAACTATATCACTGATAGAACGCAGGCCTATCGTGTTGGTAATCTGGGGCTGAAGCGATGTAAAGGGAGCTAAGCCGGTTGAGTTGACAGCACCGTCTGTGCTTGCTAGAGACAGTGCAATCAGAGCCCGACCTGTCGCAGTGTATGTAAAGACAATCTGTGCGCCGTTGTTGGGCAGCGTGTTGCTGAGAGGCGTGAAGGCGGCAATTGCATTGAGCGTAGCAAGGGCCGAGTCTGGAAAGTACGGGAGCAGAATCGAGCCGCCCCAAATCTTCGGCTGCTTAATTGCGGCGACATCGACTCGCGTCACAACACCAAAATTATTGCCACCACCCTTGAGAGCTTTGTAAAGTGCACGGTTGCTCTTTTGGTTTGCGTCGACGATATCACCTGAAGCCAGTACCACCTGGTAGTTGACCACGTTATCCACAACCCATCCATGGCTCGCAAGCAGGAATGAAATTCCGCCGCCTATGGATACACCCCCGACCCCTGTGCCTCCACATAGGCCGCCCGGAATAAGAAGGCCTTTGTCAGCAAACTCTTTGTACACTTGACCCCACCTGACACCAGCCCCCAGACGTACAGTCGTTCCATTTGAAGCGAGCTCAGCCTGACTGAGCGCATCCATCACTATTGACACACCACCATCAATGTTATTTGCACCTGGTATGGGATTATGACCACCAGACTTGATCGAAAAGGGGCATGAGTGTGCAGAGAGTAGCTTGACACCTTTAGATACGTCTAACACGTTCTGGGGCCTAAAGATGCAGCTTGGTGCTAGAATGCTCGTGTTCGACCAACGCTGGTTATTTAGCTCGCTGTATGTAGCTTCATCGCTAAAAAAGACCTGACCTGGGATTCGGGCGTTGAGGCTCCTGCACTGTACCAGAAACAAACCTGTTAGTAGAACTTCGTAGAAGGTAGGCATCTTGTTTATGGATCATGATAGTCGACCAAGCAACATTGAAGATCAGGTTTTTTTTTTCTTATTTCCCCCGGATTTTGGGAGCACAACTTACACAATTGAACGGGGAAGACGCAACTGCGTGGGCAGCTGTGGTCAGCAGAAGAAGAGCGTCGCGCATGTTTTTTGTTTGTTTTGAACGACAAAAACAATGGTAGAGTTGGTAACAAGTAGTATCCTGTTTACAAGGTAAAGCTGATGACAAGCTGATTGCAAAAGAGCCAGATATCAAAACTATATGGAGACCAGTGATCGAAAGCGCACTGTAGCCAAGTACTCGGGGGTCGGACATCGGCATCCGAACGCGGCCTCCGCGCTTTCTTTTACCTTGGAGAAGTATTTTCTAGCCTTAATATCGGACATGATCAAGTTTGGTCTCTTGTCCGATGTTCTTCTAATGTGTTTTAGTGCGAAACGCATGCAGGTTGTGCAACCGTCTTGGTGGATATAAAGAACATGGCGTGGATCTATTATTTTGTGCTTAACAAAAATCACAAAGCATCATCTTGGCAAAGAATTTCACCTTCACCTCCTAAATCTAACAAAACGCAACCTTTCCCTCACGGCGCAATGACTGAAGCATGGAAAGCATTGGAAAAGTGCCTGCCCTCTAGGGATTGCAACAGTGACACATGGTGGCAACTCACAGGCCGCCATTTGGCTGCAATTATGGATGCCGCAGGATATCCTCTCGAGAAGCAGTACGAAGCACTACTGTTCCACTATCATTGGACGGTACCGTACATGGGGCGTGCCCCCGGGCTGTCGCAGCATTGCTCAACTAGCGCTTGGAAATCGCTCTTGGCCCTAGACGGAACGCCCATTGAATACTCATGGAAGTGGAATACGTCTAAAACTGGCTCTACACCCAATGTGCGCTACGTCGTAGAACCCATTGGACGCGATGCAGGGACCGAGCTAGATCCGTTGAACCAGCAAGCGTCGCGTGAGCTGCTCTTCGGTCTTAAAAAGCTACTGCCAGGCATGGACAATACTTGGGCTTGCTACTTTTTGGCAAGTTTGTTCGACCACGATCATGCTGTTTACATGGCAGAGGCTGGGCAAAAAGGTTATTTGGGTACCAGCATGCAGCTGGCTATTGAATTTCACGGCAAAGCAACCGCCATTAAGTCATACTTCTTTCCGCGCAAATATGGCCAGGCTGGCCTGATGCCGTTGGAACAGTGGAGAATGTGCGTAGATGGGCTGAAGCTGGGAGGCGAAGTAGATTGCGGGGCTCCAGCGGCCGCCTTCATAACACCGGCGCGCACTGCAGTCGACCGGTTTCTCAGCACAAGCCCGTATGGCCAGAGCCTCACACCAATATCCGTAGCTGTCGACAATATTGCACCCGAGAGTTCACGTCTTAAGTGGTACTTTCACACGGCCCAGACAAGTTTTGCGTCAGTACGACACATAATGACGCTAGGAGGCGTTATAGCTTCGTCAGAAGTTGAGGGGCTTCTGGATCAGCTAGCCTCTCTCGTGAAAGCTGTCAATGGGCTTGGGGACGATTTTCCTGAAGATGTGGAGGTGCCTGCGGGGTCAGAGCTGGAGACCAGTCTCGACTTTGGTGAGCTGAGCAAGGTGCTTAAAGGCTACTTGTACTATTTTGATATTGCTCCGGGCAAGGCGGTGCCGGAGATCAAACTATTTGTTCCTACCCGGTACTATGGAGGCAATGACTTCGTGCTTGGGCATGCACTCACTCAGTGGATGCAGGCGAATGGGCGAGGGTCGCACTGCAAAAGCTATCTTGGGATGTTGGAGAGCCTAGCTGAACATCGAAGATTGGATCAGGGCAAGGGTCTGCAGACATATGTGAGCTGCCTATTCAAGGAGGGCGAATTGGATATTACAACGTACCTTGGAGCGGAGGCATTTCATCCGGGGCGCCTTGCATCCTCAGTGAGGCCCTGGTTAACCAAGTCGTCAACTTTGCGTCGTGGGGACTGGTACTGATCGATATGGGACTGGGTCGTATTGGGCAAGTGGACATGGGATTGAGGCTTGAGAAGTATAGAGGTTGACACAGCCACTTGTAACTAGCGATATCAAAGTTTTACAACGTAAAGCCTGAGTGTTTGTGATGTAGCATTTGAGGATGTTACATTGCTCCGTAGCCGGAACTGCTTATCCCGATTTTATTGGTCACTTCTTCTTACACTGTACAAGGATCACGACGAATACATGCCTTGAGGATGTTGAACTCCTCATATTTCTTGTTCTTCTACGATGTTTCGCACTCTTTATCGCTAAGAGTATCATGTAGTGGTAGCGATTAAAAATAGATTAAAGCCCATCGACTTGTAATATTTCAACTTGGAGCAATCTTGTACATATTTACGTCTGGCAAATGCCCTTTGACGACGGTAGATTTAGGCCCTGTAGTAGAAGATGGTTTTTTTCAGCTCCAGAACCGAACACTTGAGTAGCTCAGCTCCCAATTTCTTCATGGGTTTGCAGCTACCAATACCCATCTTGTTGATGTCTTACGTGGTAACCCTGGCAGGTGCACTTGTAGCGGAAAGCTCGTATTCCACGATCTAGGCCCTGATTCTTGAATGGTCGCAAACAAAACATTCTCAGAGGGATAGCGGGCTGCAAAGGCGAGGTGCTCAGTCGTACCGATAAGCGACACGGTAGTGCCGACAAGCTGAGAGTGCATCTTTTGGTCGGCGAAACCATTTAGCGCCTGAAAGGTATCATCACATCTAGTGGTCTTGCGCACGAAAGGGATAAGGGTGCTTGGCTGGGCAATCACCGACCGTGTATTCTGTTTAGCCTCGGCGTAGGACTGCATTGTGGCATGGGTTGCATGCAACTCTTACCTGAGCATATTGATTGCAACGCAAAACTTGGGGCTCTTTCGCAACACAGCCTGGGGACCAGAACCCGAGGCCGTATCCTGTCCACCGCATGTCGGAGCATGGAAGAGTCGGATCCCGTGTGCCCGTACGTACGGGTATTTAGGGGCCTTTGATCGCTTTTGTTCACCGATTTGTTGTCGAAGCTCAGCATGGATTCGAAACTTGGCGCCGATCTCGTGAGCGCAGCTGAACATGTCGCAAACCGATGTCGCGATGCGGTGCGCAGCGGGCCAGGGCCATCAGACACGGCGAGCATTTGCGCAGCCTTGGACTGCGTCCAGTCACTGCTCTTCCAATTGGAGCCGACTATGTTTGTCCAGCGGCTTGCAAACCAGGTGCGGCCACCTTTATTCCCCTGACTGACTTTCCTGCAATTGTTCAGTCCCACCTGAAACGGGTACCTACTGACACGAGCACAGAACCAGCTTCTGGCATGTGTGCAATGGTTGGGCGAGTTTCAAGTGCTGGCCTATCTCCCACTCGAGGCAGAGGATGGACTGCCTATCAGAGATGTGGCCGAACTGGCTGACGTGCCTGAGGCGCAGCTGTGCCGGATTGTTCGTCTCACAACCATGGGCGGCTTCTTGCGTGAACCACGGACTGGCTTCGTTGCACACACCGCCCTTTCTGCTAGCTTCGTTCGTCAACTAGCTCAACTGGATGCAACTATGTTCTTGGCCGAGACGGTGGCGCCTTGTATGCTGCGCATGGCAGCTGTGTCGCGACACAGCCAGGGCGAAGGATCCGCGGTCGATTGGAGCAGCCAGCGAGTGCAACGGCTGTGGTCAAGCTTCGGTGGGGCCTTGGGCGGCGGCGATCAAGACACCCCCATCTTGGCACAGATTGACTGGGCGAGCGTGGGTCGTGACGACGCCCTTTTGCTGCCAAAGGTGGTTGTGACAGTGGTTCAGGCTGCTGGGATCGACGATATGGGAGCCCCACCCTTGTCACGTGGACCAGCGGGGGCGGGGGCGGGGGCGGGGGTGGTTTTAGCGCTAGCGGAAAGCCATCCCGCCCTGATCTTCGTCGTGCAGATGCAGACAGCCGCCACAGCATCCGCCACAGCCACAGCCACAGCCCCCCTATTCACCCCAACCACCAGTCATCACAACCTCCACCTATGTCAGCGAGCGCATGGCACACCACAGACAGTCGCCGACGCCGCCCTGTACCTTATGCGCGTACCTGCAGCCGTCCCTGGATCCATCCGCCCTCACATTGAAGCCGAACTGCGCGCCCACCTACCCGCCCTCCAGGCCCAGCGAAGCGCGATACTAATTCTGACATGTCCTTTGCTGCCGGAGCCTGGCGCCGTCTCACGTCAGACTGAGCTCCTTGCACGCTTGCGCGACTTGGCTCGCCTACAGCTGGTCGGGAGCGGCCTGTTAACCATACAGGAGCTAGTTGAGCTTGTTGGCAGCATCCACGATGCCCACGGCGGCCTCGTCATCGTCAAGCAGCTCCATGCCCCTAATAGCGCCGTTGTCGGATTTGCGGTCCGTTATCAACCATTGCTACCACTGACTGGTCAACGTGAAATATGACGACCTTAACTGTGTACGTAGGAACCAAAATTAGCGACACAGTGGCGATTGTAATTGCTTATCCTAGAGCTATGCTCACCGGTGTAGACCAACTACATATATGTAATTGCAATCAACAAATAGACCAAGTCCTAGTATACTATTGCAATCCACAACCATTGTGACCAGCTGATCTCTCGTCTTTATCGTCGTGTTCCAAAGCAAACTGGGCGAGCATTACCCACATGGCGCTCAAGCTGCGTGATAGCTGTGACGCCTGTGCCGCGTCAAAGGTGAAATGTCACAAGCAGAAGCCAACATGCTCGCGCTGCCAGAGGCGTGGTACGCCCTGCCATTACCTAGCCACCAAACGCGCTGGCCGTCGCCCCGACTCGGCTGCTTTTTCTCCCCTTGCTGCATCGATGCTACATTGGGAACATTTCGACTTCGATCCATCGTTTACCACAAGAACTACAACGCCGTCCACACACTCAACTGACAACAACACCTTCCTGCATCAATTGCTCACCCCGACCCCTCTCTTCCCTGGAGCCACTTCTAGTCAACCTGCTTACGGCTGGACTTCTGTGGCACCCAACGACGATCTTGTCATGGCCCAACCCATGTTTACCGCAACTAGGTCTTGTACATCGTCAAACTCTCCGGAACTCGGGCCTTGCGCCGCATCACCCATAAATCTGGCCACGGACCTAGATAACGACCTGCCATCATCCGTGAGCTTCTGGGCCCCAACAGTCCGTGGAACCTCCACTGTTGACACGCCTCCTTCACTCGAACCAGGCGCCGAGTCAGAATTCCTTGCTTCAAACTTCACCACACCAGCGCTCGACACATGCCTCACGCGAGCCACAAAAATCATGCAACAACAATTCTACCAATCTGCTTTACGACCCTCAAATATCTCTTGCAAACTCCTCATACAAGATGGAGTGGCCAATGTAGCTGGGCCAGCCCCAGACATAATTATTGAAGCAAACAAGCAGTACATTAACCAAGTTGATACCATGCTGGAGTGCCAGTGCTCAAAAGACGGCTATCTTCTCACAATAATCTCGCTCATTGTCTTCAAGATTCTAGACTCTTACGGCACAGCCGCAAGTGAGCCTGAAGTTCAAAAAGCCAGGGACGATTCGGCAGAAGAACATGCACAGCGTATAGCTGCACAGCGGGTCATGGGTGAGCTTCACCGCGTACAGCGCCTAGTGAACCAGCTAGCAATTCACACTAAACGCCACATAGCTACGGAATCTCCAGAAATGACTCCAGGAGCATTTCCATCGTGTGAGCAGAAAGCAGAGGGCGAAGTATCTTCTCCCTTCTCTACGGTAAATCTGTGCCAAATAGAGATGAACATGAAAAAGCGGCTTAGAAGCCTTTCTCTGGAACTGGCAGTACATCTTAGAAAGGTCTAATCATTCTTCAATACGCATGACTTCGTTCGATATTTCAGACATCGCTTTTCTCGCATACCAACTCGCGCTGTGCATGGCATGAACCTCGGATACCATTCTACCAAGCTAAATTAGTGCTACAACTATTATTTACAACGACACTACGTAGCTCCGGGCCGAGGCCAATTGACCGACACTATTTTAGTGGCTTCAACGAATCCCGAATGATGCCCTTTCGCCTAGCATCTCTATTGAATCTGATATCTATTCTTGCGTGCACATGTGTACTAACTAGTGAGGCTGAATAATACATTTGCCCTCATTCATGTCCTCTAGCACAGCAAAGGAATTTACAATACCTAAGCACTCCTTGTAATATTTACTAGTTTCAATGTTGCCCTTATCCCTAATTACTCTTTACAGATATCTTGCGCAAACTTGGACATGTATTGTCTTGAATATTGACAAACATAATGTGGTACACATGAAAAGAGTGCTATTTGATATAGAAAATTAGAGGGTGTATGGAAGTTGGCGGGTGTGCAGGCGGCCGTTCTTTGGAGTGAGTACGCTTATTATAGGAATTTTGAATCTCGAAGAGGACATGGACTTGCACCTTTGTGTACTTTTGATTTTTCAAATATGGCAGATTCAGGATAGAGGCTTAGAAAGGCTGTACATACCATTTCAACTTCAAACATCAGATCTAAACCCGTAACGTAGCCAGCCCACATGACCAAAACTACTAAGAAACGATCATGTTAGAGCTGTTCATCATCATGCTGGAAAATCAGATAGCCTCTTGAGCCAGATCATGATTCACTACGTCATTCATGATGTTTCTCGATTCGTTATGCGATGACGATTTCAAGTTCAGTAAAGTCACATATTCGCAGCCTCTGCTAGCTCACACGGTCACAGCAAAGGAAAATATCACAACAACATTTGATTGAAGCACGATGATCTGAGAAAGAATCGAAAATTGAAGAAATGCTAAATCGCATCCATTTGCCATACTCTAGGCGAGCCCGTATGCCTTCTTCACAGCATCGGCAACCTGTTCTCATGTCAGCATCTGTTCTCACATTATCAGGGATAGCCACGAGTCATCTTTACCTTTTCCGCCACGGCGTACACATTAGCCGTGGGACCTCCAGAAACAGCCATGGGAAAGGTGCTCACGTCAGCGATGCGCAGTCCAGTAACGCCATACACTTTGTGCTCTGCATCGACAACGCCGCCCAATTCTCGTGGCATCATAGGCGCAGAGCAACACTGATGTGCGCTAGAAACAGAAAGAGAACTACGAAGCATGGTCTCGAACTCTTCATCGCTTTGGATATGTGGTTCGAGCGGACCGGCCTCTATGACCCCCATGGCCGCCATATCGGGTGCAGACATGATTTGACGCAGCTTTCGGAGCGTCGCAATGAAAATGGGCAGATCTGACGGGTCAGTAGCCGTGCTAAAATCCAATTTAGGTTCTTTGCGAACATCGGTTGACTGAATGGTGATCTTGCCACGACTGAAAGGTTTTAGAACAGCCACCATGACTGACGAGAAGGTGTCCCAGGCTGTAACGGACACCGCCATATCTGGGTTCTCCAACTGTTGTATAAGTATGTTGCGCTGTGCTTGGTAACCCGCCACAACAGTGCTGTCTTCGTTTGCGGGAAGAGAAGCAGCAGCGTCACGCTTCCTAGCATCGCTTATTACGGAAGCTTTTACTTCGGTCAAGTCTTTGAAAGATAAAGTACCAAAGGTAGAACCGAGACCCCTCACTACAGTAAAAGCACTAGGTTGATGGCTTTCATATAGTTTCCGTTGCTTGATAGCGAACATGGCATTGCTGATGATGGACCCAGCATTGGGAGTGATCAAATTACTGACTAGGCAAAGATTAGTTGTCTATGTTGCGAACAATAGAAAAAATGACGCCCAAGTTGTTTTCTTACAGTTGTACCGCACATTAATCGAGGCATGGTCTTGAAAGTTCGTCCCAACTCCTGGAAGACTTGCAACGATGGGAATACCTAGTGATTGAAGCACCGGCTCTGGTCCAACACCAGAGAGTTGCAAAATTTGGGGTGTGTGTATTGCTCCGGCAGCCACGATGATTTCTTTCGAGGCAAGAACAGTCGATTTATTCTGACCAGGACTCCCACGATACTGTACGCCAATGGCCCGAGTACCGTTGAAAAGAATCTTGGCCACTTGATGCTCAACCAGGATGTGATAGTTTGAGCGTGTTGAAACCCGATCATAACGAGCAACACGGGCACTACACCTAGTCTGGGTTTTTGGATCAAGGGCGGTTGGCACCCAAAAGAGTCCCACATTGACTCCAGACGATGGGTCGCGGATAGGTTCCATACCAGCTGACCTCGCGGCCGACCACCACTGGCCGGAGCCTGGGTAGTTATAGTTTGCGTACCCATACTGGAGAGGCCCACCACGTCCCCTGACTGAGTCGTCCCATGAAATATTTGAGGCCGCAGCAAACACCGGGTCGGGTGGGTTGAAGTTCTCTCCCTAGAAGAGGAGAAATGAGTGTTGATTCTTTTCTTTCTTTGTTTCAATAGGGGGCAAACTCACTTTTTTGAAAAACGGTAGCATATCATTCCAACCCCAGCCCTTGTTTCCAAGAGACACCCACGCAGAGTAGTCAGCTTTGGTTGCCCTGGAAAATCGAGTGTCAGTCGCAACTGTGGTGGGACCAATACCGATTCTAAAAGCCGTACCTGAGGATGTTCATCGCGTTGATAGTAGTGCCGCCTCCAACTACCTTTCCCACAACAACCTGCTCTGTACGGTTGTTCAAAGCAGTGAGAGGCTCTGTTACCAAGTCAGGCCAAACATAGGGAGCAGGATTCCAGGCACCAGGTACTCGGACACCATCTTCTCCCTGATCGAAGCTCCCTGCCTCAATCACAAGGACAGTTACTATCTTGCGTCAGCTCCAATCTTTGCAATGAGAATATGTTGAAAAGGCCATTGACAAACTCTTTGGATCTCCTGTGAGCCTATCAGCAAGGACCAGTCCTGATGGCCCGCCTCCTACGATAACAAAGTCGTACTGGTTTGATTGGACAGATCTTGCAGAAACATGCGAGGCATACCGAGGAAGCACAAAACCCTCAGCCAACGAGAACCCGCATGCCAGCGTGAGAGTCAAGAACTTTATCATTGTATGTTTGGCTGAATAGCAAAGAAATACGTGAATGTTAATGATGGCATGAATAAATTGCACAAAGAATGGAGGCAGCTTTACAGCATTCAATATATTTCGGAAATCTATCAGTAATACCAGCGTCTGCTAGTCTCCGGAGGTGAATCAGCTTGCAAGTGTGCATGTCCGAACGTTGCAAAGACCAATGGCCGAGACTGCTTAGTAGCTCACTACATACCAACACCGAGCAACATCACTAGTTTCCAATCCTTTTCTGGGCAGAAACCACAAAGCCAAGGATACAAAAATCATTTGTAATTCTTCTAGAAACATCATTGTCTCGGCCCTCAAAACCCGAAAGTCGGGAAATCGGTGTCCGATCGCGTGCGTCGAAGTGTCAGCAAGGTAACTAGATGGGTGTGGGCGCTTGTTTCTTTTCTAAAAATTACATGCTCAGATTCTTTGTCCCCGCGAATCTCTCTTCACCAATGTACTAGTTGACTCTTTTGAAAACGCGTGGATATGGTGCGATGTATTTCTACCGACATATATTGCCGTGTATTATACGACGAATCAAGGAAGACGATAAAAATAGTTGTAATGCAATTTTCCGAAGCGGCAACCCTGTGAACCATGCGCTCCTGCAACAAATCGCTGACCTAATGGAACATTGTATCGGTTGGACTAGCAACGGACAAATTGTCTGGGGTTCGGGGCTTGAGGATGTCATGTACATTGACATTTAAGCAAGTTGAATTTCTTTTATCTTCTTGATTTCATGCCAAAGTAGTCAAGCACATGATTGTCCGCCACTTCGCATTATGGCTAACAAGCACGATCTGCCGGCCCCACCAATAAAAAGTACCGAGGGTCAACTCCTCTGTCTTACCATATGTGGATACCGCCGTCCAGGTATGAGCGAGGACGATTATCGACGTCACATGACGCAGGTTTCTGGACCGATGACAAAAGAGTTGATGGTAAAATATGGAATCATTGGATGGAGAATGGTAAGTCATCCGAAAACATGACGTTGTAGTGAACTAAAGAACATAAAATAGCTTCACAACACGACCGAAACTCGTAATCTCATGCGACAGCTCTTCAATGAGCACATGATCAATTTGGCCGACTTCGATTGCTTCAGCCAAGTGACTTTCAAGAGCATTGATGGCTATAAGCGAATGAGGGAAGATGCTTTATACAAAAAGCAAATTTCAGGAGATCATATCAATTTTGCGGATACGCAAAGGAGTATGATGACTATTGGATGGGTTACAGATGTTATTGAGAATGGAAAATTGGTAGAGGACAGCGCAACAGCATGTCGTTCTAAGAAAACAATAACGATAAAGCTGCAAGACGCCGCCATCATACTTGGATCATTTCTCTCAGGTATATTTAACCCAATTTCTCCTCAAGAATGTAATCTATTCTTACTTGAATACTGCAGGATCTATGATATCTCTTTCCGCTATGACTATCCCCATTCTCTTGGAGACTACAACTGATGCTTTCCAGCTCCTTTGTCAGTGGACACGCGTGTATTACTACGGGCATCATGTACTCCTGGGTATAGCGATTTGGACTTTTTTGTCGTACACTTTGGTATGTTTCCGAAGGCGTAAAGCTGTAACGTCAAAACTATGGCATCTGCTTGCAGTTACCGTTCTCTCAACTGTGAGCATCATCCTATTCACTCTGCTCATCATGAAACATACGAATGGAGAAATTATTCCGTATGGAATACATGACGAGAATGATTCGGTCGGGAGAGCCCAGGGACGTCAAAATGGTGGGGATCAAGGAAGCTAGAGAACTTGTCGTTTCGTGGGGTTTTATGCACGCTGTGAGATCTACATTCCCTTTGGTTGGCGCTATTCTTGGTGTTTTCTCCACATCGTGACACCAGTAGGGCTGAAAAAAATATGAGTCGTGGGTCACTGGAAGCTGTGGACGAAGAGAGGGAGCAATCGGCTGAACACTACATTTTGATGAAAAATTAATGTTCCACATATTTAGGTGTATTACAACAATCGACCCAAAGATAAACTATTCTGACTGGACATCGCTTGCAATCCAACAAAGTGTAACTCTGCCTTGCAAAACCGTGTAGTTCTCAGCAGAAACGCACCAAATACGCATTCCATTCCGGCACTCGATAAGACCAAGACTGCATATAATAATCACTAATGTAGTTCATGTGACTAAAAATTGTCGGATTCGATAGCTGATAGAAAGTGCTGGTTGATCAATCCGCGGTGCAGTTATCTCATTAATCAGACGCACCCCTGTTGGACTAGCGTTTCGCTTAAACTCCTCCACCAATTAGAGATTGATT